TCTACCAGATTGCAGTTCCACATTCCTACTATACAGCAAACCTATACGAGAAAAACGTCTTCAGAATTTCCTTGTGCTTGTTGACATGAATATCCTATATAAAGATGCTTAGCTTGTGATCAAATTACAGATGCTCAGTTAACTTCAGCTACCATATATTAGCCTTTTATAAAATCAAATTAAGAACAACAGTAACACAGGTGAATTGCACAAGCAATAGCAAATGTTATATCCTATAAGGCAACAGCATTCAATTAAATATCTCGAGCTAAAAAAACGAAACACCAAAAACATACCAAGTTTTTGGGCATCACCAAACCACTTGCTCATCAAATTGGAAGTCCTCACATTAACAAACACAGCTCCAGACTCCTTTGCAATAGCTTTAGCAAGCATTGTCTTTCCTGTTCCAGGAGGTCCGAACAGCAAAACCCCTTTCTGCGGGCCAAGCAGCTTCCCATAGGCAACAACTGAGGCCTCCGCGACGGAAGAATCACCAATTCAAACAACGCCTCCTTCATTTCGTCTAACCCTCCAATCGACTGAAGATCCACATCTATGTGATCCGAATTCACAATATCACAAGCTATAACATCCTGCAATTTATATTTTTTATTAGCTATATGAGAGTCAGACTGTCCGAGAAAATGAGGTACATCAATCAGCAAAGAAAGAAATTGAACGAAAGCAAGGGAAAATGTTGTGTTGCCTCGTAGGGTGTGGTGTGGATGAGAGGACGGCCCAAGCGTTTGGAGAGTTGTTTACGGTGTTGGAGTGTTTTTCTGGAGGCCTCTTGATTGGTGTCAAGGTATCGAAGGCCTGCGAACAATACCAAGCAACTCAACGAGACGCTCGTGGCGTATAATTAGAGTTCCTGCAAGAGACTCCTATATCCTGTCCGTACGGTCCGCCATTGGCAGAAGAAAATTAGGGCTTTAAGCTTGCAATTTCACACAAGCACAGAGGGTGTTGGCAATGGTGTTTGTTGGTTGGTTTTTCACTTTTTCCCCGATGAAAATTCGGTAGGAAGCCCATAAGGCGCGCGATCTCGTACGTGGGCTAGACGGAGATGATGAGGCTGTCCGGAGTAATTTCACTATATTAAATAATACTAATTTTTATTTATTTATTATATTATTTAAAATTTATTTTTATGTATTATTTTTTAAAAAATAGTAATAAAAATTATGTTAAATTACAAATTAATCAAATATTAAATAATTGAATATGCAATAGAAATTAGTAATGTGATAGTTTTGTGAGAAAAAAATATATAAAGAATAAAATTTAACTTTTTATTTATTTTATGAGCAATGCTACAAAACTCAAATAAAATTTAAAAAATTCAACTCAAATGCATATCATCCATTGGATGAATAGATCTCATCAATTTTTTTAATGCGACCCACTCATCTTCCACTCATCTTAGAAATGATATACATTTGAGTTTTAATTTTTGAATTTCATTTAGATTAGATTACTCAGTATTTTCTTTATTTTATTATAGATGTAACATTGAATGTATACAACCTCAAACATTAAACCTTGTGATTGTTCTAAACTTTACTATATTAAATCGCCATCACCTTTAAGGGGTACATTATATCCAATCATAATCTTATGTGTCGAGCCATAAGTTTGGCACAAACTTCTACTTATTGCTTATTAACTTAGACATAGAGTTTTTCACCTTTTCACGGAAACGAATTAAATTAAAGCTTAGTGTTGTGCCGAGACGAAGGAATGAAATAAATCGATTCCCTTGGAAGATTATACAATGACATCATGGAAAGTTAACTGCATGCACCCCCACACACGACATAAATATTTCTTTTGCTCTGGCTTTACTTTAAAAATAGGTCTTTGAGAGCAACCATTGACCCTTGTTCGGGAGCAAAAAGTTGATTCATTTGATGACACTTAATTTATTTGTCTAATAAAAGGGTGTATGGNTATTGCTTATTAACTTAGACATAGAGTTTTTCACCTTTTCACGGAAACTAATTAAATTAAAGCTTAGTGTTGTGCCGAGACGAAGGAATGAAAGAAATCGATTCCCTTGGAAGATTATACAATGACATCATGGAAAGTTAACTGCATGCACCCCCACACACGACATAAATATTTCTTTTGCTCTGGCTTTACTTTAAAAATAGGTCTTTGAGAGCAACCATTGACCCTTGTTCGGGAGCAAAAAGTTGATTCATTTGATGACACTTAATTTATTTGTCTAATAAAAGGGTGTATGGGAAAAAGCCACCACCCAACATAACAACGGTTTACAACAAAACGATCAAGGACATCAAGCGAAGAGCTCCCATGCACATATTCGGAGCTATGCAGATGCCGTAGTCTAGTCGCAAAAGCCGGATCAACCTCGTGACAACGGCATTCGGGAAACCGCTGTGGTTAAGTTTTTCCATGGAAGAGAGGGTAAAACAGATTTTTGGTTAAGTTAAAATGACAAAGCTAACCTGTATGGTAAATTAGATGATAAGCTGCTCTCAGGTATCACTACCTTGAATTCCAAATTTATCCAGTTAGGCCCCAAATTGACAAGCTAACATAAACCTAGAAGAAAGATTGCTCATAAAATTTCACCGGAACCATAAATCCAGGCTACTCTTAGTTTGCATGCTCTGAAAACAGAAGAGTAGCTGAAAGCAGCAGAGGGGCCCTTTTTGCCCAAGCATTTATAAAGCAACAAACCGACCAGTAGACAGTTTATAAAAAACCAACCCTACCAAAGGTGAGCTGCGAGTCCCAACATCCAAATCACATTATCTAAAAGCTTGAACAATCAATTATATACTCGGATGTTTGTATCATATTATATATGTATGCGAGGCGTGGGCAAATATCCATGAAGTGGCACCTTGCATATATCTATTCAAAAACATATGTATAAACTTTAGATGGGGCAATAATGAAAAAATAAAAGAAAGATTAACTGTGAGATGAAATAAAGGAGGAGAAGGAGAAGGAGAATAAGGAAACAAAGTCCATCAAAGGCTATAAATTTGTGTTGAAGTTTTGATTTGAGGTAGGAGAAGTTACTTGTTAGTTCTCTTTTCCATTTCCCATAAGTACATAATGCTTGTGGCAATTTTGGGTTGCATGTGATGTGAGGATAGGGATTTTATATGTAGAGCTGAAATTGGTATACATATAATGCATGAACGTTACGATTGGGTGAGTCAAAAGTCAAGATCCAGAGGCAGATGATGCAATTCAGGATTACCAGATATCCAAATGCATGCTCCACCCACACCCACACCAACACCCCGCGAGTAAATAGACTTATTGCAAAAAAACATAAACTCCTTGCCTCATACNGTATAGGGATTTTATATGTAGAGCTGAAATTGGTATACATATAATGCATGAACGTTACGATTGGGTGAGTAAAAAGTCAAGATCCAGAGGCAGATGATGCAATTCAGGATTACCAGATATCCAAATGCATGCTCCACCCACACCCCGCGAGTAAATAGACTTATTGCAAAAAAACATAAACTCCTTGCCTCATACTAAACATCTATTGACAAAAGGGTAAATTTAATATATGTTTACACTTTAAACATCATAGATAAGAGATATATAGAACAAATGAAACACCCCCAAAACTTTCTTTCTTTCTCATGGTGACCGAATCAACAAAGTGGTAGCCAATTAGGGGAAGGCTACATGGCTCTGCAATGGGGAGGAGCTCCTTTCTCTCTGCACCAAATCTATTGTGACTGAGACAACAAATTAGCAGCCAATTAGAGGATCGCTACATGACTCTGCAATGAGGAGGAGCTCCTTTCTCTCTGCACCAAATATATTGAAAGAAATTGTATCTTCCTCTGCTAATTAATTTGTTTATTTCAATTTTGAGGAGGCTGATATCTTCCACAAGATTTATTCTAACCGGTGAAGAGGAAAATGATTCCAGAAACATGAATGCTAATGTCTGCTTCTAATTTATCTACAGCAACCCCCAAAAAAAAAAAGGCGAAGATGAAATAATCATAGGTTAAAATAAAAAGGGCACATATTTAGACAAGGAAAATGTTAAATAGACTTAAAAAACTAAATTAAAATTTTGACTTGATGAATCATTACCATTGCATAAGTAGTGGGTCCCAATAAATACTAGGATTCACCGTCAAATCAATGACAAATATAATAACCACATCATCAGGTCAAGTTTTTAAGTCTATGTAGCATTGCTCTTTAGCCAAAAACAACTATGTTTGGAAAATGGCTTGCAATATTAAGCTTACCTCAATATACATGGTGGCTTCACTTACAGTCAGGATGTATTGTACATATTCAAGCATCCCCTTCTCTTCTGTCTACATCTTCTTGACCAGCCGCAGCATTTAACTGATGTTGCATCTAGAAGCAAAAGGAAAATCATTACTACAAAATTAGAGGTTATGATGCAGTTAAGCTAAGAAGCACGGACATAGGACACATATATGACACGACATGGATACACTGACACGATATTTCTCAAAAAAAAGGACACGGACACATTAGAGATGCGCTACAAAAAATTATATTCTATATGTAACATTATATAATTTATTGCAAATATAAAAATAATGATATGCAATTTATAAAAGATTCAGAATTTTATGATAAGTAAATCTTATGTGTAATGATCTGTGTGAATTTTTAGACTAAAGTATCATCATAATAGTAAATAATCATAATTTTTTTTTGTAGACAATGTGTACCTAATATATAATTTAAATAATTGCTCTCATATTCTCAATTCCTCTTTTTTTAAATTTCTACGCATATTTTGTTTTTATTCTTATATTTGGAGTACAATTTTAACATTTCTATGTTCTCAAATTTTTAAACTTTATTAATTATATTTCAACACATGTTTATTGGTTACTAGTAGACATGTTCTAAAAAAGTGTTAGACACGTCACCAAAGAAGTGTTGGACACGTGTCCGAAATTAAAAAGAAATTATTTAATTATGAACACAGATAAAAGAGTATCGAACACATGTCCGAAGAGTGCCGATATCCGACACATGTCCGACACGAATCCGTCTCCTTGTCGAGAGTGTCCATACTTCATACCAGTTAAGCATACAAGGGACAGAAAGCTACTATTATAGCAAAGAAAAATCCGCTTGCTATTCTACATTAACACAAGCATGCCAAGAGGTGAGGTCCACACGACAAATTTCTAACCAAAAGTAAATTCTAGCTCAACAGATGGCCTCAATAAGTCATCTTTAGCCTCTCAAACCCATCTTATTAATTAGTTTCAGTTACGTTGTAATGATAATTATTATGTTCAACCCAGCCACAAAGCCCAACTTTGTAATCCAAAAAGTGCAAATACAAATATATTAGAAATAATGAAGCAACTCACTTGTATGTGCTTTAATTTTTCAGCATTCAATTCATCAGTCAAGTTAATCATCCTGCGAAATATGAGAGAGAGAGAGAGATCATTTGATGAACTTCATATTCAAAATAAGGAGAAATCCACAACATCACTAATCTTATTCACAAACCTAGCTTGAAGCTCAGAAATCTTGATAAGCAGCAGACGTTCCCTTTCGGAAACCATTGATTCTACCTGTGAAACGAGGGTAAGTATGAAGATGAGAACATGTCAATCTGTTATTACTCATGATATATTTAAATCTGGCAACATACAATAAGGGATTTACCAAGATGCCAATCTTTTCAGACAAATAGATTAAAGTTTCATGAGATATAAAAGCAATAGTGAATGACATCAAATGCAACTGTCCATCAGTAAAGATCAATAGTTCTCTTTGGTTCCCCAACCCCTCAATGATTGCTTAAAGATGTATGACAGAATGGAAAATACTGTTCATGTTGCTGACATTGTTTAACATAGAATCAACCATAAGAGGAAACATGTCAGGATTCACTAACATTAATAACCAAAACCCAGGGACACAGAATGGAATACAGCCAGGTACAAGGTACAAGCATAAGGTACAGAAAAATGGGGACTTCCCTTTATCTATTTCTCAAACAAAACATTGATCTGGATACAGTACACTTGACAAATAAAGGATCCACGTTCTTAAAGAGAGATTTTCAGAGGAAGAACCCCCATAAGAACTCCTTTAAGTAGCCCAAATACAGGAAGGGAATAGATGCTTACAGTTCCATTATTCTCTGAACTACGAGACAATGGAGGTAACCTTCCATTTTGAGAAGCTGAAACAAAATCAGAAAAGTTGATCCAACTTATTTAGAAACTCTTCCATTAGTAAATACAAATTTACAATTATTGCATTTGAATCTTCCACTCACCATCTATTACATCAGCCGGTTGCAAGCAATTCAACAAATTCACAATGAGATCCTGGTATTACAAACAGCAAATATAGTTGGTGCTTACCTCAAGCATTAAAACATATAATGGACGAATGAAGCACAAAACCAACCCATAACTGGAAAGCCTTGCTGCCTTACCTGTTGAATAGATGTCTGCTTAAGAAGGTTTTGAAGGTATGGCATAAGAACTGATGCAGGTGCAATGCTGTTACCACTTTCTTTAGGTGTCTGACTGATCGGCTGAAAAACAATGAATATGGCATCTTAACAACATATGGCAGCAAACAGGAGAGAGGAACTAAGAAAACAGAGGTAATGTCACATAAATAAAAAATGTAACTAGGTGTATAAAATCAAACTCAAAAGAGATCAGTTCACAAACCGTTTGTTTAGATTCAAAAACCCAGTCTCCCATACTAGCAGACTTCCTTAGTGGTGACACCTAAAAATCACACGACAAATCATCAATGTGGAACTACAAATCCATATTTTTTGGGAGGAAAAAATTTTTATTGCAAAAATTGAGACTTGCCTGTGAAGATCGTCGAGGAACTGTACATAATGGAATATCCTGGATACATGTTTAAGTTAGTGATAGTCATTTAATAGAACAGGAGTATCACAAGAATACAGCTGTACCTTTACAAGATCTACATTTTCTGATGTTACTGAGAAGCGCCCTTTTATTTGTACAAGATTGGCCTTTTTATCTTCCAGCGAATCTCTGAATCCTACAGGATAAGAAAATAGTGTCAATGCTACAAAACTTCTTAGCTAGGGATTCCGCCTTTATATTACAGGTCACACAAGAAAATTCTTCCTTTAAAGCATTCATCAGTTGCATAACAGTATTAGTAGCAGTGCCAGTGGTGAGACATCTACAGCACAAAAAATACAAATTCATCACCTCCTGATGATTTTATGGGAGCTGATAAACTGTTTGCTGAAGCTCGGTTTGGGAGCATCAAAGGACCACTAAAGCTGGGTGCTCGTCGTATGTCATTGTGAATTTTTTCAGCCGGTGGTTGGTTGTCAGTATCATACCTAATGAACAGACCATACTGAAAAAACATGATCACAAAGTAAGGGCACATAAAGCAATAGGAAACTATGATAAACCTTTCTAAGTTGCGGCCCCTTTCTGATGTTGAATGACCGAGGATGATACCAGGCATGAGAGGTCCGCTCAGAGTTTGGCGGCTTTTCCCAGCTGGCATTCTACACTTGGCCTGCACCACTTCCTTCTCTGAGGTTGATGGTAGCAGCTCAGTTTTGGATCCATTATTCTCCTGACCAATTTTCCATTGATTGACAGACTCCACCAGATCAGTTTCCAGTAGCTTTCCCTTCTTTCTCAGGCATTCAGCTGGGGGTACTTCTTCAGCACTTACTTGTTCACTAAATCATAGTACATTAAAAGTGAAAGAACCAAGACTAAACATTAACAAAAAAACTTTAGTACACAAGAACACAAACTAAGCATGCACAAAAACAAAATAAAAAATCAAATAAGAATGTGCCAGAATGGAAAAGGCTCTGAGCAGCTAATCCCAGCACAATAGTTACCGAGTATTGCTGTCCTCAGAACATTGACCTCAGCAAAATTGGTTGATCTACCCAACAGGATTATTATGGAGATAAGATGTTTAAATTAAGACAAGTGTCTGGGCATTCCAATAGGACATCTCTTCCCCACTGTATAATCTTCTAACTCATACATTGATGCAGGTAAGATGGACATTTAGGAAACTTGGCTTTTCACATCCCAAGTTTTTAAGTAATGAAGGGCACATTGAATCATCTCAAACCATTGCATTAACATCTAAAAGCACTTCATCAAAGAACAATTTTTTCTTGCATTAATAAACATTTGGAATGGATAACACAGAAAAACTCAAATAAGTGTGTGTCCCTTTGTTGTGAAATGCAGATGGATAACCAATGTGAATAATTCATAAAACACTCCATGGTTACCCTCCCTGTGACAAGCATATGTATCTCGCAGATAATAAGCCCAAGATAAATATGAAGTGAGTGCAATGCATTTGACAATAAATATGATTCCAAAAACTAAATGCTTATAACTACAGGCAGTAGATCATTTACCTGCAAACAATTTCATTTGTTAAAATTGATTTCCCAAGTGTAGATTTGGAATTTGATGCATCCTGCCAGTGATAAGCAGCGTTTTATATCCTATTTTGCTTTATAAAGCAAAACTTTCAAGGGGAAGAAATTAGACATAAATAGACATCTGGAAGCAGCACTTGATCTATCAAACTTGGAGATCAAAAAATAATATAAAAATTGCTACATGGACAAACAATGACCTGATGATTGGCAACTAATTTCATTCTTTCATCTTCTTCTCTAATTTCTTGTATTTCATCATCATCTTGCACCTGCCGCCATAGAGACACATAAACTCAACTCCACTGCAAAATAACTTTCAAGAAGCCAGCTACTCAAGATGGCCATTATCTTTACATGACATTTAAGAACAAGAAGAAAAATAGATGTAATACATACCAGTGATGCTTGGGCTTTTAAGTCCTCAATATTGAAATTCCAGGCACTAACACCACGCTGATACTCACTCTGAAAAGGACAACACAGGAATTTACTGCATACAAGTATAATAAAAGTGACAATCTGAAAGAAAAAAAAGTATAATAAAAGTGAACACCAGCAGACAATAGAAAGATTCAGGCAGGCGCAAAGTTTTGCACCAAAATTATGAAAATAACAAAAGACAAGTCAGAATTGTCCATTGGAAGCAAGCAAACAAATTTTAACAAACAATTTGGTTAGTGGTTCTCACCTGTGATATTGCTTCTTGTTCAGCTGAAGGCATTCTTTTCAGAGCTAGTTGTGCTGCATCTTTACGCTGAATAATATTGGTAACTTCATTATACAGTGATACCGAGATGAGTGAAAGGAAGAACCCCACATCATAGCATTATGACAGCGTACCTGGAGATCTTTTACACGATTCCAAAGTGGTGGCAAGTCGGCAAAGAGTTTCTTCACAGAAAGCTCAGGAGGCTTAGTATGCTTGAAAAAAGAATGTTTCAACAATTTTTCTACAGTTGGCCTTTTTGTTTGATCCTTCACCAAGCACATTGCAACCATTTCTTTGAAGGACTGTTCACAACTGGGACTCCTTTAATCATCAACCATTAAAAGATAAAAGTACAACTCAACAACTACACTGCAGACTGGATTTTATTTTCCTAGTAGTCATGTTTATAGACTTGTGAAAGACTCAATCATCCAATGAACACAGTAACCAAAAAGAACAGTAATACCTTTGAGAACCTTTTATCACGGTCATAATCAAGTCCAGGAGGGGCATTCTGTAGGGTCATTAGGAGAACCTACGGCAAGCGAGCATATAAAATCAGACATTTCAATATCAGGAGCATCTATGTCAATACTTGTGTGGAATTCTCATAGGTAGAACCGTAGACGTATATACCTTCATTGGTGGGTATTTTGAAAATGGTGCATGACCATGAGCCAATTCCAGAGCAGTTATTCCAAATGACCAAATATCAGCCCTGCATAAGATTAAAAAAACAAAGGCAACCGAGTCTTAAGTTTATGTAAATGTATCAGTGTCCTACCGCTTCTAGACATGTCGCTTTGGGCTCCTGCCCCTGATTTGGCTTTGCTTGGGGGTGGGGTGGGGGGGTGTTATTCATTATAAGAAGACAGGAAAGACTTCTTATCACAAAAACTTCAAATTCGTATGTGGTGATGAAAAGTTACTCACTTGAAATCATATCCACTTCCTGGCTGCAACACCTCTGGTGCCATCCTATGATGGGTAAATAGGAGATCATAAATAACAAAAACTATCAAAATAGCCATGAAATGTACGAAGAGTAAAAGACAAAAGCTGCTCCCCCTCACCAGCATGGAGTTCCAACAAAAGTATTTCTTGATCTTTGTCTATCACCTCTGTCAAACATGCAAGCTGAAACACCAAAGTCAGCAAGCTTTACCAGCCCATCACCATCAAGTAGTATATTTCCAGCCTGCAACAGAAAATGTTAACACAAATTGAAACTGGGATGTGCCAGCCCAGGTGATTTAAAAACAGAAAACACAAAGGGATGGAGAAAGAAGATCATATCATCGCAAGAATTAGTATTTTTAAATTCAACTAAGTGACTAACCTTAACATCACGATGGATGTGTCCATGTCCATGTAGATACTCTAAAGCCTTAAGAGTTTCTTTCAGGATTGAACCAATAGCAGACTCTTCAAATCCTTCTGGGTATGCTACCTTCATTAGGTGTAGACAAGAACCTTCAGCCATGAATGGCATAACCACCCAAAGGTTTTGGTCCACAACAAATGAACAATATGCCCTTATTACATTAGGATGATCTATCAAACGCATTGTTTGAGCCTCCCTACGAATATCGTCCTGCAAATATTACAATCTGAAATACTTCAACTACAGTGCTCAAAAGAGCTATAATTAAGTGATTATAAAATGGATGATGGCCACAAGGTAGAGCATCTCAGCTTAACTTTTGAGCACAGGTCCAGCTCTCATTAACTATAGAGCATACCAATTCTGATATTGCAAAGAAGAAAAGAAAAGAATAAACGAGAAGGAAATGAAAATGCAAAAGAACAACATTCAGCGACTCAGAAGCAAGGCGATAGGGATGTGTGAAATTAGGAATTATACAGATCTGGTTGATAGCGATCACATAGGATGTACTTGAATTTGAAAACAGTCCATGGGTTTAGAATTCAGATCTATTACATTATAGTCCTTTTACTGTCCTTAGGATATTTGCTTACAAATATTGTGTAAAAATATTTAAAAAAGAAGTAACCCGGATAGCACATTCAAGTTGTTTCCCACCAATTAATAAGGCACTATCAACAAGGCCATGGACAACGGAATGCTAATTATGGGGTACCAAGAGTCAAAATTCCATTTCGAAACGATCAAACCATTTCGACTTTCCATGAGACCAAAACAAATCAATAATTGAATCAAAATTTCAATCCTTCAAAGCGTTTCAAGGTGTTTCGGAATATTTCGAGGTGTTTGAGAATGTTTTCACTAATATTTTAGAATGTTTCGAGGTGTTTAAGATGTTTCAGTATGTTTCGACAAATGTTTTGAAGAAAAATTCTCAAATTTTNTCGGAATATTTCGAGGTGTTTGAGAATGTTTATTTTAGAATGTTTCGAGGTGTTTTAAGATGTTTCAGTATGTTTCGACAAATGTTTTGAAGAAAAATTCTCAAATTTTTTATCAATTTTCGAAATGTTTCTGAAACATTTACGAAACGTATTATTTTCTAAGGGACCAAAACAATTTACAAAAAAGGAAATTTTGATCCTTATGGGATTCTAAACATCAACCGTTGACATGATCACACAGATTTAGTCCTCTGGTGCAATCCATGTTGGAGAACCATCCAGCTCTCTCTCTTATCCACTATACAAACTGATTCTTTGCATTGAAGGAGTTTACAGTCCACTGAGCATACTGATTAGCCGTAAATTGTGCATGATTAGTAATAGTGACAATTGGGTAATTACATTGAATGAGTAGTTAATTGTGTATAATTGTTTACGTTCTGGATTTTACCTCTCTTTTGAAGTGCTTGTTAGTTTTGCAGTTAAAATAGTTGATTTGAATACTTAAAGAGGGCAAATGCATGAAAGGGAAAAGATTCAGAGTGATTAGAAGTGAAAAAGGATAAAAAGAGTCGTGCATCTTAACGGTTGAGAATCGCGTCCGAACGCGACTTCTAGAAGGTGCAAAGGCAAGGAGGACAAATGTGTCGAGGAAGTCTAGAATGCGCGTTCAGACACAATTAGCAGAAAGGCCAAGACGAAGCCATGCGTCCGAACACTAGGAAATGCACATCCGGACAACGCGACATCCAGAAGGTGCCTAAAGAAGAGATGCATCAGGACGGTCCAAAACACACATCCAAACAAGATGCCCGTATTTGCTAAGAACGGGACTTCGACTTTTTCTGGTTTCTTAGTCTCCTAATTGAAATATAAGTTTTTGTAAACCCTAATTAGGGTCATTCTTATTTTCAACCTCTCTTCCTTAGCTTGCTATGTTTTTCTTCTAGATTGCTAAATCCCCAACTAAAACTAGGGGTGATATTTCTAAAGAAGCACGATATTTGTTTTTGATCCATTGTTCTTTAATGTATGACTTCCCTTTTTAATTATTTCATATCTTTTAGTAAATTTTTTGCTCTGTAAAATCTCTTAATTCGTTATGCCATGTACATCGAATGCTTGACATTCCCTGTGAGTCAAATAAGTGATTTTGCATGATTAAATTAATTAATTCGAATTTTCATAAAATAACTAATTTCTTATTTGTATTAAAAGGAGGTTTTTGATTGTTGGATAACTTGATTCATCATTGACTCCAGGTACAGTGAATGCTCGTGACTCACATTTAAATGCTAACTTTTATTCGAATAATTTATCAATTATATCTTTAGATATGTTTTTAATATTATCACCACTACATATTCTGATTAAAATACTCCTCAGTTAATTAAGATCACTACTCAGCTGATTCTTAATTGATTATGAAAGGTTCGCACTACTAGCGTGAAGATTGATCATTGGATCAAGCAATGGCCCTATTCCTCCAAAGCAAGCAAAATGGTTAATTAAAAAAGGAAAAGCAAACAAGTGTAAAGAAAAGGCGTAAGTGGACAATTTAGTAACCAGTAACTAACAAAGGCGCACACACCATCTAAAGAAGTCCACCAGTAAAGGTTTGTCATTATCAGGTGTAGTGGTTATTAATTGTCAACCAAGAGAGCAAACCAACCTAAGAATAAGAGAAAGTTTAGTCAAGACAATACTATTCTGAATTTGATTCCCATTGTCCAAGTACCAAGGAAATATGTGCTAGGGAGCCAGAGTACCAGCGGGGTGAAGGTGAGGATCATGAGGCAGCTCGTAGTAAGAGAGCAGTATCTGTGGCCTCCATGAGATGCCGTTTGGTTTTTCAAGCAACCAAGCAGTTTTTGTGAAGTAGGAAGTGGGAAGGAAATAAATGTTTTAGTTCTAAGAGACTGTGATCAGAGGGGTCACAAGACAGAACTAGAGGGTATTTATACTGGTGTGTACATGAGATAAGAAGCTTCCAAAAACATGTGAGTTGTACCACCAGCAAGATTGGAATAACAAAGGTGAGGTCTCCTGATATGAAAGTACTAAGTTTATGGTAACAATCTGCCGATTGTTCCACCTTCCATGCACAGCATCTTGGTTAGATAGATACCTCTCACCCTAGACTCGTCGTAATATCATGCCTCAGGTTAAGCACAACACCTGAATGGATTCCTGGTCCAAGCAACCATGTTGCATGCCTTCTAGGTCCCCGAGGTAAAATCCATGATAAAGCCATGCAGGCTATCAATGAAAGCAACACCAAATGTATAAAGGGGTAACTCAACCCTGCAGTCTATGCCAGGGTCGATACGAATGAATCCTGTAGTATGAAGGGGGTCACCTACGGTCAACAAAGTCCCAAAATTGCATAACAGGTGAAATAGTGAGCACCACGGGGAGTGAACTTACTGCAACACCTCAATATAAGGTCTTTCAAGGGGTCCTTATAGTGAAACAATGTGCCATGTAACAAACCAGGTGGAATAGTGAGCAGCTATGGGGAGTGGAGAGTGATTTGCTAGCTTGGATTTGGGTCAATTCCTGTGCCATAGNGAAATAGTGAGCACCACGGGGAGTGAACTTACTGCAACACCTCAATATAAGGTCTTTCAAGGGGTCCCTATAGTGAAACAATGTGCCATGTAACAAACCAGGTGGAATAGTGAGCAGCCATGGGGAGTGGAGAGTGATTTGCTAGCTTGGATTTGGGTCAATTCCTGTGCCATAGCTTTTCAAGGCATCTAAAACGTGCATTTAAATGCATCGCATAATATGCATTCAATTCAGCTCAAATTCCAGAAGACAAAAAATCAAAGTTTGCTACTGAAGTTCTAACAAGAAAGAACCTCTGGCCTGCAAAGTACATTAGAAACTGCCGCCAACTGTTTACACTTCATGCAAAGAAAGTCAGAATGCCAAACTTGACCAAATCAAAAGGACGCCAAAATTCAGGAATTCAAATTAACAATTCCAAGCATGAACCCTGGTTGCTAATAAGGAACTTTCCTCATCAGAACTTTAGGGTAGCAAGGCCATTGCCCACTAATTTCTGTTTACGTCAATCCAGAATCAACCCAATGATATAACTGCCCTGTCTTAATTAATGCTTCAAATTCAGTGCAGTCGTCAATGCCTAAACTCCTTCAATGTAGACAACAACTAAAAACCAAGCGCTATGAAGGTGAGCCTAGTTTCCATGTTCCACCACAGAACCAGAATCCACAATAGTATCTGAAATGGAGCACGGAAACCTGAGCAAGTTAAAGTTTCCATAGGCAAACGCAGGCTAAAGAAGTCTAACAGTAAGAGTTGTAGGTATTTGAGGGTGAGCGTGAACTGCCAAGTAACATGAAATACCATTGTAATGATACCAACAAATCTAATTAAGAAACTGTCACTTCTAACATTATTGCTCACACTAATTCACCCACTCTTTGCTCCCACACGATTTTATGCTGCACTCACAAGAAAAAGGATAAATGTTTTGCTACCGAATATTGAACACCATAACCCCTCTGCATAAGCTCCGTTATTAACCAAGACCCCTTGACGTTCCCACAAAGATACATTAGGCCAGGTAAAAATTTTCTTTAATCAATAAACTTACTTGAATTCGGCAGTAACAATTTATAACTCCAGAGTCTCAACTCCCACTCAAGGAACACAATAAAGATTTCCTGAAAGCCTAGTGATCTCAATTCTCACTAGACTGTGACATACACAAATAAAATCAACAGCACAAAACCGCACCCAAACACAAAGACCACAAAGGAAAAAGTCAAACAGGCTAAAACCACTTGACAAAATCACAAACTCAACAAAACATTGAAATCGAAACTCAAATCAGTAAATACATCTCACAGTCAATTAAATTGTGCACATACAACAATAAACCAATCAATAGACAGATATAAAACACAGTGAAAGAGTAGAAATCAAGTGAAGATAAGAAGACGAACCAGATTGCTACTGCAGCGATCGAGATCCAAACACTTAACCGCCACGACTTCATTGGAAGGAAGATAGATCGCTCTATAGACAACCGCACTGGCTCCATATCCAACCTCTTCTAGAAGCTTGTAATCGTGAGGATGAAGCGAGTAGCTTTTCTGACCACCTCCCATATCCCTCCCACCCCCTCAAAACCACCAACCCTCTGATCGCCAAACCAAAATCAAATCTCAATCACAGAATCCTGATAGAATACAGCTTTATTCTGTGGTGGACTCGTACGTGTTGAAGCTCTGACAATGCTCCGACTTACTAGCGATATTTTGATAGGCGTTTTTATCTTAACTTTATTTTTCTACGATCCGTTGACTGCCATTAGAAGCGATATAGAAGACAGACGGAGATGGTGGTGCTGACGTGGCGGAGTGTCGCTCGGTGATAACACGTGGATGACCGCCATGACAAGGGCTGTTAGCGAAGAAGATCGATTTAGACTCAATTTGTTTTCCAACAGATTACACTTAAGATTCTCAACTAATTTTTTGAATTTAGAGAGACATTAGCTACATGAAAAAAGGGGTTTTGTGCGAGAAAAAGAAGATGAAAGCTATCGTTATTTGTGCAGTTGAATGGATGAGGAGGAGGATGGTTTAATTGCATTAGAGTCCTTAACGGAGTTTGCATTATTTTAGTTCTTAATATTTTAATTATATTATTTTGATTCTTAAATTATTCAATATATTTTTATATAATTTTTTTAGAGAGACAACGTCAAGATCATTAATAATTTTTTACCATAAATTTATCATGTAATACCTAACTATGGACAAACATTAATTTTAATAGCTCTTAAACAAAAATTGGGTAACTTTTGACAAAAAAATATGTAATATAGATAACTTTTGACTAATATTTAGATAATTTATGATTAAAATTGTATAATTTAGGTAGGTATTTAACCAAAATTTGAGTAGAAATTTGGTCAAGAGTTGTCCAAATTATTTTATTGTCCAAATTTAAGTATCATGTCATAAGTTTATGAAAAAAAATATTTAGTAATTTGGATATTATCTACTTGAGAGACTATATAAAAACATATTCAATATTTCAGGGACAAAAATTATGCAATTAAAATATTAAGAATTAAAATGAGACAAACTCTATACTTTAGAAACCTCCAGTATAATTAACCTAAAGAGGATTGTCAACAAGTCCCAATATATGTTGAAATTAGGGATAACTCGTGACTTCAGATACAGTTCAATGCCTTGTTTTATATTATAAATACGGTTTAATGCCTTGTTTTATATTATAGATTATAGATAGTCGTGATTTCGCAAATCTTGACTTAAAGTAAACGAGACTCAAAATNAGATAGATCGCTCTATAGACAACCGCACTGGCTCCATATCCAACCTCTTCTAGAAGCTTGTAATCGTGAGGATGAAGCGAGTAGCTTTTCTGACCACCTCCCATATCCCTCCCACCCCCTCAAAACCACCAACCCTCTGATCGCCAAACCAAAATCAAATCTCAATCACAGAATCCTGATAGAATACAGCTTTATTCTGTGGTGGACTCGTACGTGTTGAAGCTCTGACAATGCTCCGACTTACTAGCGATATTTTGATAGGCGTTTTTATCTTAACTTTATTTTTCTACGATCCGTTGACTGCCATTAGAAGCGATATAGAAGACAGACGGAGATGGTGGTGCTGACGTGGCGGAGTGTCGCTCGGTGATAACACGTGGATGACCGCCATGACAAGGGCTGTTAGCGAAGAAGATCGATTTAGACTCAATTTGTTTTCCAACAGATTACACTTAAGATTCTCAACTAATTTTTTGAATTTAGAGAGACATTAGCTACATGAAAAAGGGGTTTTGTGCGAGAAAAAGAAGATGAAAGCTATCGTTATTTGTGCAGTTGAATGGATGAGGAGGAGGATGGTTTAATTGCATTAGAGTCCTTAACGGAGTTTGCATTATTTTAGTTCTTAATATTTTAATTATATTATTTTGATTCTTAAATTATTCAATATATTTTTATATAATTTTTTTAGAGAGACAACGTCAAGATCATTAATAATTTTTTACCATAAATTTATCATGTAATACCTAACTATGGACAAACATTAATTTTAATAGCTCTTAAACAAAAATTGGGTAACTTTTGACAAAAAAATATGTAATATAGATAACTTTTGACTAATATTTAGATAATTTATGATTAAAATTGTATAATTTAGGTAGGTATTTAACCAAAATTTGAGTAGAAATTTGGTCAAGAGTTGTCCAAATTATTTTATTGTCCAAATTTAAGTATCATGTCATAAGTTTATGAAAAAAAATATTTAGTAATTTGGATATTATCTACTTGAGAGACTATATAAAAACATATTCAATATTTCAGGGACAAAAATTATGCAATTAAAATATTAAGAATTAAAATGAGACAAACTCTATACTTTAGAAACCTCCAGTATAATTAACCTAAAGAGGATTGTCAACAAGTCCCAATATATGTTGAAATTAGGGATAACTCGTGACTTCAGATACAGTTCAATGCCTTGTTTTATATTATAAATACGGTTTAATGCCTTGTTTTATATTATAGATTATAGATAGTCGTGATTTCGCAAATCTTGACTTAAAGTAAACGAGACTCAAAATTTTGGATCCAAAATCTAGCAGTAAAAAATTCACTTCAATTTTTTCTCCATAATATTAATTATATATTAACCAAAAAGTCGGCACTCTAATCTAGTCAAGTTATCAGATCCAATTGTGCAAAAAAAGTGATCGATGTGTTTGGTTTAGGCATTATAAGAGACTACTAGACAAAAAAAATGTTTGGGCCCATTTTATCCTTTTTGTTTTCATGTTTCTATACACTTTTTGGACATGATATTACCACTTAAAAATAATTTAGACCTATACGAATAAACTCACCTATTTAATGGTGGGTTTAAATAAGAGTTTTTGGGCTATGAGTAAAATTTTTTAGACTTATTTGAGGAAAAGTGTATGGATAAGTTGTTTACTCTATTAAGTTCAATTTTAATAAAACATATTTTGTTTAGATACAAAATTCAAATGAAATCAAAACTATTTTACCTAAATACTCTCTCTTAAATTTTATATTTTTGATTGACAGTTATATATCTAATAAAATATGTAAAGATTTCATTAGACTCTATCACTATCTCTCCCCCTATTTTCTCTCCATCTCTTTCTCTTTCCCCATTACTTTTTCCATCTCTCCCTATTTCTCTCTATATTTATCATTGATAATTTATTTTTTTTTCGAATATGTAAAGATTTGATTTATTTTTTCATCTATCTTCCCTATNTGTCTAGTGCATAAAAAAAGCTTATAACATGATGGTGTGTTCAATATAGCTGGGCACAAACAGGCTGTTTTGGGGATCACTGAACTGTCCAGTCAGAACTTCTAAATTCTTGGGGGTTGAGTTATTGATTCAAAGCTCAAAAGCTTGATTAGTCTACTCTAATAAAGTTTTTTTCTCCTGAATTTCTCTATTAATTGAGGGGAAAGAGATTGCATAGAGCAAATACACAGATGAGTACTATATATCCCAATACAAGGGATTTGATCCCTATTTATAGTGTTCAGATGCTAATGGTGATTTCCTTGCATGATCCCTGCCATTTCCCAATAACCAATGTCATCCTAGTGTCATCAGCGTGATTCCCCTTAAGGTGGTTGCGACCCATGTGCCAAATTATTTGGCTATTATTGGTTAGTTACATTTCTTAGGCGTGTCGTGGCCTTCTGAAATAAGTCAATTGTCACATTCATAGTGCACACGAGGATCTCGCTGCTAAAGATTCTCGACTTGAGCAGCTCAAGCTAGTGATCATGAGTTGCGGGTCCAAACTTAAATGTGCTAGCTGGGTAGACCGAACTTAATCTTAACTAAATTTTGGTATCATCATAACATAATACAATTTAATTGAATTTTTAATACCACCTCTTTAATAGTATAGAGGTGGTACTAACATTGGCTAAATTACACGAATAGAGAGCATTAAAATTATAGATATGAAATACCTTTACAATACAAATTTATACATAATACATTATATTTTTAACAACCAAATATAATATAGCGTTAGATTATAGAGTTTTAATTTACTTAATTCACCAAACTACCCAGAATATAATCATATATGCAATTTTGCAAGCTACAAAACAAATAGCAACTCTCCAATTCAAAAATTTCGTTATTCTATTATTTTTTAGTTCAACGATCAAGGAGGGTTTAGATTAATTTTCGAGTATCTCTCTTATTGCTTGGTGGGTTTTTGAGTTGCATCAGTTTCCAACAAAATAAAAACTTTACAAATGAGAGCTAATTTATCAAAAAACTAGTAATTACTCGTGTCTGAAGACACTACGTTACTCGTAAAAAACTATAAATATTTTTTCATAAATAAAGGTAATGTGTAATACAATTTTAACAATATAACGATCAAATTGATATTATTCAACCTGTAAGTAGAACATATATAATAAAATATTTATATAACAAAAGTCACGCTACAACTACTGCAANTGCTCGTGTCTGAAGACACTACGTTACTCGTAAAAAACTATAAATATTTTTTCATAAATAAAGGTTATGTGTAATACAATTTTAACAATATAATGATCAAATTGATTTTATTCAACCTGTAAATAGAACATATATAATAAAATATTTATATAACAAAAGTCACGCTACAACTACTGCAACATATTAATTAAAAAATTTGAGAAAATATAATTATTATCAATTAAATATCCACAATTTTAACATTTTTAATAAACTTTATCTCAAATTTCAAAAAAATATAACTATTTTTGTTTATTTGCAAGTTTCTACCTAAAGTTCATAACACTATCTCTTCACCATTTTTCTAATGTGAGTTCATGTAACTTTTGTGAGGAAAACATACAAAAGTTTCATATGAATTTTTGTAGATGTAAAAAATTTGTTGAGTAATTAAAATTAGTTTTCATTTGAGTTCAACTTAAATATTCATAAAATTCTATCAAATTTAAGTTTGGGTGGGACTATTCCCATCTAATTTAATTTCTCATTATCAAACTATTAAGTTCACTCCTTTTATATTCANGCGGGACTATTCTCATCTAATTTAATTTCTCACTATCAAACTATTAAGTTCACTCATTTTATATTCACATCATTAGTAATTAAGTTTATCCCGTATTACATACACCCCGTTTNTGATATAAGGAGAGAGAAAAATGGAGAGAATAAGGAAATTGGAGGAGAGGGATTGAGAGAGAAAAAATAGGGGGAGAGAGATAAAAAAAATTAAATCAAATCTTTACTTATTTAAAAAAATGTATCNGTGGGACTATTCCCATCTAATTTAATTTCTCATTATCAAACTATTAAGTTCACTCCTTTTATATTCACATCATTAGTAATTAAGTTTATCCCGTATTACATACACCCCGTTTAATAAATAAACTCACCTTATATTTTGTCATAATTAGGGTTTCATTCTTTATTTCATCTGATGCACTCACAAANTCTAGTTTTTTTTTCAAAAAAATTCATTTAGGGTCAGATAAATTTCTTTAATGTAGTTTAGGTCAAATAAGTCTAAATTTTTGTATCAGCTTCCAAATTATTTTTTAAATAATTTGGTTAGGATATGTTTAGACAAAAAATATTTTTACCTTCAAGANTTAATAAATAAACTCACCTTATATTTTGTCATAATTAGGGTTTCATTCTTTATTTCATCTGATGCACTCACAAAAATACTTTTTAATATGAATTTTTTTAGTAAGATACATGTTAGTATTACTTTTCAATTTAATTATATATTTGATTTTATGTTTGTTGTATAAATTTTTATTATTTTCGGTATGTTTTGATATCTCTGTTAAGTTTAATAATTTTATTTAATAATATATATATATATATGCGCACACACACACACNTACACTCACAAAAATACTTTTTAATATGAATTTTTTTAGTGAGATACATGTTAGTATTACTTTTCAATTTAATTATATACTTGATTTTATGTTTGTTGTATAAATTTTTATTATTTTCGGTATGTTTTGATATCTCTGTTAAGTTTAATAATTTTATTTAATAATATATATATATATATGCGCACACACACACACACACACACACATATATATATATATGATTTTCAGATTATTTGTTATTTTTTTAATCTTGTTTAGGTTTTGTATCTATACTTCTTTTTTTTTTGTTCGATTTTGCATTTGTGTTTGATATTTTTTTCATGTCCGGTTTTACATCTTGTGATTCACGTTTTGTAGTTTTACTTGTTTCTTTTAAGTTTTGTTTGATTTTTTTATTCCTTCTTATTTCGGTTTATTTCTTTCTTTTTTTTTTTTTCCTTATTTCATTCTTTTCTTTTTAAAAAAGATGTATGTAGCATGAGATGAATATAAAAAAGGTAAACTTAATAATTTGATAATAAAAAATTAAATGGAGTGGGAATAACCCCACCCTTTAAGTTTTAGCAAAAATTACACGTCAATCAAATTCAGTTCAATTTGAGTTTTAATTATAATTATGTCAAACCAAAAATTGAATTTAAGTTCGATTCAATTAACACTTCTATCTTAAATTTGCAAACTAATTCTTATCTATCATGTTCATTGTGATGTCATAACTTCTTTTTTTTTTTAATTTAGTTATTTTTTATTATTTTTACAATCAATTTCACTTTGATCGTACAAATAATCATAATCACTTCGAATACTAATCATAATCACTTCGAATGCTAATCGAGTAAAATGAAATTTAGAGGAGGAATTTCGATCATTTGATCAATAATCTTAATAGAATCTAAGGCACAAAAAATGCAAGACAAATAATGATAGCCCCCTTAGTATATAGATATATCACATTACACAATTCGAATATTATAGTATTTTTATTTCATTACAAGGTATGACATATATTATAGTCATTCTATTCGTTTTGACGCAAATAATATTTATTTAAGGTTCATTTGTTTATTTAAATTTTTTAAAAATAATCTTTAATTAAAATCATAATTAACAACTTAAATGTATAGTATGAGATAAAGAGAGATACAAGAATTGTGGAATGAATAAAANCATAATCACTTCGAATGCTAATCATAATCACTTCAAATCGATAATTGAGTAAAATGAAATTTAGAGGAGGAATTTCGATCATTTGATCAATAATCTTAATAGAATCTAAGGCACAAAAAATGCAAGACAAATAATGATAGCCCCTTTAGTATATAGATATATCACATTACACAATTCGAATATTATAGTATTTTTATTTCATTACAAGGTATGACATATATTATAGTCATTCTATTCGTTTTGACGCAAATAATATTTATTTAAGGTTCATTTGTTTATTTAAATTTTTTAAAAATAATCTTTAATTAAAATCATAATTAACAACTTAAATGTATAGTATGAGATAAAGAGAGATACAAGAATTGTGGAATGAATAAAAATATTACTTAAAATATTGGGAGAGATAATTTTTCGTATTAGGATCGTCGAATTATTATTTTTTCAAGTGATCTGAACTGTAAAAAATTAAATACAAAAGAATCTACCTACTTTATTTTATAAATAGCTAACAATTAGGCATCGATTGTCTTTAAAAGTGAGGAATATTCCAACGACAACTATATAATTCAAGAACGATTATTACGCAAAAGTTGTAAAAATATTGAAAAATGATTGGAAGTGGCCATTTCTCATAGCAGTCTTCTGCGCCTTAGTCTCTTTGAAGAAGCTTTGGATACCAAATACCCCATGCCCAAGCACACCACCCAAATCCCCACGTCAACCGCCCATCTCACTCCCTCTATTTCCATCTCCACCTCCATTCCCTCCTCGCTATCTCCACCATCTGATGCNAGTATTACTTAAAATATTGGGGGAAATAATTTTTCGTATTAGGATCGTCGAATCATTATTTTTTCAAGTGATCTGAGCTGTAAAAAATTAAAGACAAAAGAATCTACCTACTTTATTTTATAAATAGCTAACAATTAGGCATCGATTGTCTTTAAAAGTGAGGAATATTCCAACGACAACTATATAATTCAAGAACGATTATTACGCAAAAGTTGTAAAAATATTGAAAAATGATTGGAAGTGGCCATTTCTCATAGCAGTCTTCTGCGCCTTAGTCTCTTTGAAGAAGCTTTGGATACCAAATACCCCATGCCCAAGCACACCACCCAAATCCCCACGTCAACCGCCCATCTTACTCCCTCTATTTCCATCTCCACCTCCATTCCCTCCTCGCTATCTCCACCATCTGATGCTTTTTCTCTCTCCTCCCCACAACAACAACAGCAATTCTCACCTTCCGATTCACACTCCAGCTCTCTCTCTTCCGGTATCTCCTCCAACCCCACAAAACACCTTCCTCTCCTCTTCCTTTGCACCACCATCTCCACCTTCTCAGTCATCATCCCCACCGCCTGTCCATCCACCGCCACACACACCTCCATTTCCCTCACCTCAACACCCACAATTTCGTTCTCAAGCCCACACTTGCACTCCATTTTCCACTCATCACCCTCGTCCTTCCTAAAATTCCCCTTCAAGACCTTGTCTTCCCTCAAGTACACCTCAAACCTAACCCCTTCGCTTGCTCTAACTCTCTCTCTGCTACCAAATACCGCTCCATTCTCCACCGCCTGAGACGAAACGACACGATGAAGAGTTACAAATCCAGGCGAATCGGGTCGGATTTTGGAATCATCAATCTCCAACGGACTTCCATTTATACGAGGAAGGTAATAGAGTGTAAGTGAATCGGGTAAGGCTGTGTGGGTAGTTGGAGCCGATATATAGATGTAGAATGCTTTGATGTTCAAGCGTTCTCTCTCGCTGTGCTGAAAACCTCTACACATGTTGTCTGTCTGTTCGCCGATAATATATGATAGTTCAGGTGTTGTTCGGAGTCGAAATGAGTTAATGGAGGCTGGTTGTTTATGTAATGGGAAGGGTAAGGGATAGGAACTGGCAGTAAGTATCATGCTATGGGCCATGAGCGTCGTCTGTTTTGAACGAATTCTGGGGGCGTTGACTGTTCAGCACGCGGTTTCTGCGGCGGAGTGGACAAAAAAAGGATGGGAAGGGACATATTGGCTTTTTCAGACAACCGGTAAAGTACAACTTGTGGGGTGCTCTGCTCTGCTGGGCGATCAACTTGGCAGCCGACACATCCGAACAGTAGTCTTAGAACTAAACTTGTGCTGTGCTCTGGGAAATGGAAAACAGTTGATTGTGATGGATTTAAAAAAATTAAATTTGATAATTTTAATTAGGTATTATTAAAATTTATAATAAAATTAATAGTTATAATTATTAAATTTATTTTTTAAATTCATATAACATTGCTCTATTAAAAAATAAAATCTAAAAAAAAAAGAGAAACCATTCGGAGACGGTTATTGTTTTTTAGGCACTTTCAAAAACATCATTATACTTTATTTTGTAAGATAAAAAATGGAAGAATGTAAAATTGAAAGGATACAAAATTTGAATAATAAATAAAATATCATATTTTATAATAAAAAATATGAAAAAGTGGACGAATTAGTTTCCTTTCAACTCACCAAAATTAGGCAAAAAATTAAATAAAAATTAATTATGTGTATTAAAATGTAAGTTGTGTATTTACCTAATATCCTTTAGTATATGCTTACTAAAGTTAATCCGTGCTTGAAAGCATGAAAGTAAAGATCCCACACACAAAGAGAGAGAGAGAGAGTGAGGAGTGAGGAGAGAGAGTTAAAATTCAATACAAATAGTTTTGAAATGAATGTTAATGATCGTTGGATGAACTTATTAAAGTTTGTCCTATTTTATATTATAGACCTCTTTAATATTTAAAGTCTTTATTTGTAAGAGAATGACAGAACTTTTTTGGCTAATTGGAAGATTGGTTTGGTTTTTGGCGTGAAGCTTATTGTTGCGTGTTTTTGCTTCGGTTTTCTTCTTTAATTTTTCCTTTGATTAAATAAATGTGTGTGTGAGATTATTTTGATTGTTAGATATTATTTTTAAGATCCTACATTTGGTATCAGAGCTATGTTCCAACAAGTGGTATCAGAGTTATGTTTCAACAAATAGTATCAGAACTATGTTCCAACAAGTAGTATCAGAGTCAAATTGACGTTCCTGGTGTAACAATCAGAGCTAGATTGATGATCTTGGTAGAACAATCAGAGTTGGATTGATGATTTGTTGGGATTTAATACACTTTAAACTCACAGATAAACACACACAATTGAAGAACAAACCAAAAACATAAAACAATAAGAAACAAAAAAAAACAAGATACAAAGATTTTACGTGGTTCGACAATTTGTCTAGGTCTACGAAGCTGCAAGGTTTTCACTATTGAGAGAGAGGATTAAAGAGAGCATCTATAAAAATTAATCAAACCCTAATCACCAAAGTAGCGATCTTTTATATATCCTATGCACTAGGCTACAAAATTGGCCAAAAAAAATTTCCTTGGGGGCAATCTCGGCCCAAGACTTCACTTCATGAACCAAGCCTCAAAAAAATTTTTATTAAAAAATCACACAGCATTACTTTTGATCGGATCATCATCCAAATTAACATAAAAATTAGATTCCACAAATGGCCCGACACGAGCTTGGTGCACCAATCAAAACAAGTTGTTGTCAATTCAATGTTCAAGTTTGTGTTCATGTTGAAGAAGACTCCCTTGCCATACACGTGCAGTATTAAAGATGTTTATTCAGGTTTTTTGGCTCTTTGAGTTGATGTCACGGTATTCCGATGGTTTAGGAGCTATTGGGCTGATATAAACTCAATAGTGATGATTTAGTGTCTCGTCGATTATGAGTCACTAGGCTTTTACCTTTGAATGGTGAAACATTGACCATTGAAACCTCCCAAGAGCAGGTAAGACACGGGCATAGATGCACAGATGATGCAGGCCAAGACGCAAGTTCTTGAAAGACAGAGAAGATTGTGACGACTCAAAAGGGCAAGTTTGCCCGGGGTGATTGGTAAATCAGAATTAATGGTGCTAAACCCAATGTTAGGCATGACCAAAATTGAAAAGTTTGGTTCAAGGGAGACTGTTGGAATTTGACTCAAACTCCATAGTTATCATGAATAAAAGTTTGTTGGATAATCAATGTGAGAATCCTATGAATAAGGATTATAATTGAAGAGTTTTAATATACCATAAATAGGTATGTTAGATATGTGATAGGAAAAATAAAGATTAAGTTGTATGTAAATATGTTTAGTTTATAGTATTTTATCCCTAGTATTATGTAATCAGTTACCAGATAACCAAATTTCAGTGAATAAAATATCGATATAGATTCTTGATCCGTGGATGTAAGTACGGAATACCAAGTAGAAATGTTATATCGAACCACATTATATATTTGTGTCATATTTTTATTATTTTTTTATTTTTAAATTCCTCTCTTCCAGCAAATATTATTTGTATTAATTATTTGTTATGCAAAATCAACAAACGGTATCAAAGTTATGTTTCAACAAATGGCATGAGAGCTAAGTTTCAACAAAATCCAACGTCAGGGGTTGTGCGTGTAAATTACATTAAGGCTGCAACACAGTTCAACTCTGGTATTCGTGCAGGGCGTGGTGTGGTGAGTGAACTCTCTCTAATACATGTCAAACTCGTAGACACTAGAGACACTTGTTCAGGCTGGGCATGAAGGTTTGAAGATTTTTTGAGTGCATGGTCGTGGGCTGTGGCCTAAGGATAAAGCTCAGGCATTTCTATGGGCATTGATTGGGATAAAGAATGTGGAGGCATGTATATATTATCTCCTTACCGCCTTATATCTACACATGAACTCCTAACATTTTGGACTTAGTATAACAGCTATTCGAGTCCACGTTCCTATCCATCATTATTGCTTTGCATTTGCCTGCGAGGGCTCCACGTTCACCTCCACCTCCACCACCACCACCCATTTTTATTTTCCACAGGAACTCGTTCATTCAACTAAATGGTAGTAGTATTAGAGGTAGTCACAACTCATACAAGGGCCCCCCATTAATTCAAAAGAGGATAATTACATCGTTTCTGTGGTGTACGGTTATGGTTTTTACAAGAATTAATATGTTGGAAAAAGATGATTATCAGATTTTAATATTTTCTAAATGTGCTCTTTATCGGATAATTTCAGGTTCTGAAATCAGCTTCTAAACAATCTCATTCCAAACAAACAAAATCTGAATCTCTCCCTCTTGTTTACCCTTCCTCTTGGACAACAGCCCCTACACTACTATGCACCAAACTGGAATCTGGATCCATGTTATACAGATGAGAAAAATGCTAGAATCACCAGCAAGATAAGCACGGTTATGCCTAAATCTCATTATGGCTTATAACAACATTTTTTTCCCGTTTGGTGCAAATCTCCAACCTCATAGTTATAATACCACTCTGATTAACTTCACTTAGTAACTTCTCCTTACCACTTGGCGTCCAATGATCTACATGCATTTTTTTTGTAAGAAAAAGCTGATCAGAGCAACTAATAAATGATAACCAAAAGATAGAAGGGTGCCCCAGTATGAATTTCAATCTTAGTTATTATAATGTATTATGAGCAAACGGTTCAAATTCCGTACTGATGGATAAACCTGAACCAATAGAGCAGTGACCAACAAAGGGAATCTCGTTGACTCTTATACATGGCCAATGGGATGAAACACAGCCTGCCCACCGTCATTCTCTTTCCATCACTTTCACCTTTTGCATAATTTGACTCTTTTTTTCTTATATTGTGTGTCTTCCACGTTCTGCGTGGAGTTAAACACCACATGTTCCTATATCTTTTGCAAAGGAAGAATCACCTCAATTGTAGGAGGAGGAAATTAGATGAGAGGTCAATCCTATAAGGTCCGCACGTTAGGCCCTATTCCATTAAATGAGCTTGGAAAGTACTTGTTTAATTCGTATAACTACAATATTCACACTGCCAAGCACTATATATATGTGTGTGTTTCTGTGTGTATGTATATAAGTTTCATGAATCCTAGTACTTAATCAAAAGGCTTTCTTTTTGTTTGATGCTTGTATTTTAAGTATCAGGCCCGGTTGTATGTAATTATAATAGGAACTTTGGCCTTCTGTAATTGGTGGACTACTGATTAAATTAGTAAGGAAGACTTGAAACTGTCGAAGTCATGCCTGGGTTTTAGGAATAGATCGAAGAAGGGGACATAACCCATATGGAGCTTTCGGAATTGGTCAGTTCACTGCAAATACTCTGCTATATATATTAAGGTATACAGAGTTCTATATCTTACTGTACTTTGTTCATTTTTCACGTAACACTGTAGTTCCTCCATTGAAGCAAGTTCCGAATGTATGTATGATAAAATTGTGTCATTTATCTTTTACAGTATATTGTAATTGTTTTGATGAGTTTCCACATTACATACTTATAGAAGTTATAGAATGATGCAGATTATACCAGTAGCGGCCATGAACACAGATGAACTTAATGAGAATAACGAGATTCAGAGAGAGGATTTTGAGTTGGAACAGCGGCAGAATGAATGTGAGGACGATTCAAAGAAAATCCAACCATGGACAAAGCAGATCACGTTACGGGGATTTATTGCAAGCTTAGTCATTGGCTGCATCTATAGCATTATAGCCACGAAACTAAACCTCACAACAGGAATTGTACCAAACCTCAATGTCTCTTCTGCCCTTCTCGCATTCGTGTTCATTCGTACATGGACAAAGTTGCTTTCAAAAGTCGGAATTGTCTCAGTGCCTTTCACTCGGCAGGAGAATACTATGATTCAAACCTGTGCTGTCGCTTGTTACAGCATTGCTGTTGGAGGTTTGAAAATTGAAACTTCCATCTTTCACTTTCAAAAAAAACACAGAAACTTTGACACCAAATTTTCTAAACATTTTTTGCTTTACTTGTCAAACTTTCAGGCGGATTGGGGTCATATCTCTTGGGATTAAACAAGAAGACATATGAGCTGGCAGGAGTTGACACTCCAGGAAATAATCCAGGGAGCTACAAGGATCCCGGGATCGGTTGGATGATCAGCTTTCTTTTCCTAGTTTGTTTCATTGGTCTTTTTGTTTTGATTCCTCTCCGAAAGGTATCCACACATCTTTGAAACTTATTCTTTAAGTGAATTTCAAAGTCTACTTCTCAATATTTAAGTTTCCTAGCTAGGCGTTGAACATCTCAGACACAAATGGAATAAGCAATTCAACTTGCTAATTAAAGTAAGCCAAGTAGATTTGATATTATAACTTCATGAAAAACGACATGTTTTCCAGCATATTCATCAACTTAGACTATGGTTAAGCCAAAATAAATTGTAGGGCCTTTTCCTTATCCATTAATAATCTACTTAGATCCCGCAATTATTTAACTCTCCCGATAAATTCACATCATTTATATTCTTAANATATTGGTATATTTGATTTGGACTATGGTTAAGCCAAAATAAATTGTAGGGCCTTTTCCTTATCCATTAATAATCTACTTAGATCCCGCAATTATTTAACTCTCCCGATAAATTCCCATCATTTATATTCTTAAAAAAAGAGATTTTCATTGAGTTGTAATGGTCTCACAGATCTTGGTAATTGACTACAAATTGACCTTTCCAAGTGGGATGGCAACAGCAGTTCTTATTAATGGATTTCATACACGGGGAGACAAGATGGCTAAGTATACAATTATTGTTTGCAATTTTTACCTCTCCATACCATCATTTCTTGTTTGCCACCTACCTGTCTGTCCACTTGCAATCAGGACTTAGAGGAGTTGTTCCTATTTCGATTTGCAGGAAGCAAGTACGCGGGTTTATGAAGTTCTTCTCATTCGGCTTCTTGTGGGGTTTTTTTCAATGGTTTTACACTGGAAATGGAGAATGTGGATTCTCACAGTTCCCTACTTTTGGATTGCAAGCTTGGAGGCAAACGTATGTGTGTGTGTTGGTCTCTCTATTGATTAAATGAGTCTTTTTTCAATTATTATTACAATTTTGATTGATAATACTCGTAGTCTTTTTTTTTTGGTCAGATAATACTCGTAGTTGATTTTCTTCATTTTGTGTAGATTCTACTTTGATTTTAGCATGACATACGTAGGAGTTGGAATGATCTGTCCCCACAACGCGAACTTATCTTTGCTTTTGGGAGGTGTGCTCTCATGGGGTATGATGTGGCCACTTATTCATAAGCGTAAAGGAGATTGGTTTCCTGCACAACTACCCGAAAGCGATATGCAGAGTTTGGGTGGGTACAAGGTTGGTAAATTCTGTGTGTGTGAGAGAGAGAGAGAGACCAAATATATACATATATGTGCTCTAACTTTTCAGATTCTTAACATTGCATTTTCGTTTACATGTGATTTTTTGGCAGGTGTTCATCTCCATTGCTCTCCTTTTGGGTGATGGCCTCTACATTTTCACCAAGATAATGTATGTCACTTTGGTAACATTCCACAGCAGATTGAAACACGAAAACCGCAAATCAGGTAAATCCCGCGGGGGGTTGGCCCCATGCTGAACTAGAGTGNAAGAGAGAGAGAGAGAGAGAGAGACCAAATATATACATATATGTGCTCTAACTTTTCAGATTCTTAACATTGCATTTTCGTTTACATGTGATTTTTTGGCAGGTGTTCATCTCCATTGCTCTCCTTTTGGGTGATGGCCTCTACATTTTCACCAAGATAATGTATGTCACTTTGGTAACATTCCACAGCAGATTGAAACACGAAAACCGCAAATCAGGTAAATCCCGCGGGGGGTTGGCCCCATGCTGAACTAGAGTGCTACATTGCAGCAACCTAGCCAGGAATCTGGTCAAAATTGATTCTTTGGCATAAAAATTGTGTTCCTAATTAACTTGGACAACATTAATTACTTCTGCATGCAGCTTTGGGGAGTGAGAACAAGGCCCTTGATGATCTGACAAAAGATGAATTCTTCATCAGCGAAATCATTCCCATATGGGTAGGAGCTGTTGGCTATTTCATCCTCGCCACTATTTCTGTAATTGCTGTTCCCTTCATATTCCCTGAGATTAAGTGGTACTATGTCATCGTAGCATACATTTTTGCACCATCTTTGGCCTTTTGCAATGCTTATGGAGCTGGTTTGACTGACATAAATAATGCCTATATTTATGGCAAAGTGGGTCTATTTGTGCTAGCTGCAGTGGCCGGAAAAGAACATGGCGTGGTGGCGGGGATGGCGGGGTGTGGCTTGGTCAAGTCTGTTGTTAATGTTTCTTGCATTCTGATGCAAGATTTTAAAACAGGCCATCTCACACTCACGTCCCCTCGAGCAATGCTTCTAAGCCAGGCCATTGGGACGGCTGTAGGTTGTGTGGTAGCCCCACTCAGCTTCTTTCTATTCTACAATGCATTTGATGTGGGCAACCCAAATGGAGAATTTAAAGCTCCTTATGCTATAATCTACAGAAATATGTCAGTTCTTGGTGTTCAAGGCTTCTCAGCTTTGCCACAGCACTGCCTGCAACTTTGTGGCTGTGCGTTTGCGTTTGCAGTTGTAATTAACCTGGTGAAAGATTTTTGTCCCAAGAAGATAGGTAAGTGGATGCCACTACCAATTGCCATGGCATTGCCCTTTTTCGTGGGCACCTACTTTGCTATAGACATGTGTGTTGGTAGTCTGGTTGTGTTTGTGTGGCACAAGCTTAAGAATAACAAGGCTGACTTGATGATTCCACCAGTTGCTTCCGGCTTAATCTGCGGTGAAGGTCTGTGGATCCTTCCTGCATCAGTTCTTGCCTTGGCCAAAGTAACTCCCCCCATGTGTATGACATTCTTGGCTTCTTAGAAGCAGCCAGCTCTGTTTTATAAAAATGTTGCTAGTTACTTGAAGCCACTAAAAATTACTGTTTGATGGGAAACTGGAGTCCCCAGAAAGATGAAATTAAAATAATATCAAGTTGCATCCAACTTGGAGGAACTATATTATATATAATTATTATTATGAAATGGATCATATTGCCTTTCACTACATTTGATACTGTTTTAAGTTTCTATTAAATTGTGCCTGATTGTATTTGTGTAACTGACCCTTCCGTGGGTTAAAATTGAGAAATATCTACTAAACTAGAAGAAACTTTGATCTCTACTGTGTTTCATAGAGGGGAAGCAATTGCAAAGTCCCCCCTTATTCCATCCTCCCCAATTGGAGGACAAGTTGACAATTTAAATTTCAGGTACTAAAATTAAAAACTGAGGTTAAATACGAGGGCAAAAGGCGTAAACTTTACCCTAAACGGGAATTGCTTGCCTACCTGTGTGCTGCACTAAATTGATCGACACGTTAGAATGCTTCTAGGGACTACGTTTGACTGTCACCAAGCACTGAATTTTTCAGAACAGGGGCTAATCCATGAAATGATAGGTGCAAGTCTACACAACTTATATGCATCTATTGCAGAATAATGGTAGCTTTGGTCTTTCCATCGTGCCTCCTGTGCTATTCTCCTCCCTGAGTCCCTAACTCTACTTTGATGAATAGGAAAGTACCAACTCTTAAGATATGAAGCAAGCACATTTTGTGAAAAGGAATCTATTTTAACACATTCAGCAAAAGATTTCATACAACAAAACANTCGGTCTTTCCATCGTGCCTCCTGTGCTATTCTCCTCCCTGACTCCCTAACTCTACTTTGATGAATAGGAAAGTACCAACTCTTAAGATATGAAGCAAGCACATATTGTGAAAAGGAATCTATTTTAACACATTCAGCAAAAGATTTCATACAACAAAACAACGTCTGACGTTTTTCATGGAGAAGTAAAAAAGTTCATCCATTCAGAAGTACGAGAGAAACAAAAACCTGACTAAACCTCATTTTATAATAATTGATTAATATACATGTGTCTTTGTAAGAGCAGTTGATCTCAATGTCTATAAAACAGAAGGCACCTCCAAGATATACTGCCCCTGGTGATACAATATATCAAATTTTACTTACCGGGGAAAAATACAACTTAATTTATCCCGTTATTATACCTGCCAGAACATCGGTCTTACTCCGAGCAAAGATTGTGTAAACTAAACGAATTGCATCAAGCCACCCATCCAAATATTCCCAGGAATCAGCAACCTAATGAGCAAAAATCCTGATTATGTAATCTCTCAAATATGACCATGGTCGCCATACTTTACTAAAGAATGCAAACAAACACATCAAACAGTAGGTAAAAGAAGCAACAAACTTCCACAAGCTATTACACTAACAGAAAACTTAGAAGAATATATGAATTTCCTGAGATGCAATTTCATGGAAAATAGCAAGAAGCATATAACTTAACTTTGAGTAAGTCACATATCTCAAAAAGTCTTTCCTTCATATAATGCAAGGACGATGATAAGAACCCAAGTTTGTCTATTTCAAGGATATAATGTTAACGTAAATTTAATACAGTCCAGAAGCTCTTTTTGAATGCCTGTTATGTTTTCCACTTGCACAAAAATCTAAGATCTAGATCCGTCAAAAATGCAAAAGGCTGACTAGAAAATCCTCCATTTATACAGGGGACATTCATACCAGGTTATTTCTATGAGAAAAAAATCAGCATAAAAGCACAAGTAAATCTGACAATACAGTTCAACAAAAAAAAGGAAGAGTATATCTGAGACTAGAAAACAATGGGGTAAATTAGTTCAAATTACATAAACAAGACAAAAATCTACTCCAATTTTAAGTTTCCAGGTGAAAGTTGGAACATATAGGCAGCTTCAAGGGTTTACTGATGCTCTCTGACTTTAAGACATGCCTACAAGGTTTGGCTTCAAATTTTTATCTGTCTGGCCTCAAGGCGAAGTTGAGAAAAGTATGGAAAATAGTTATCAACGGGCCAAGTAGCCAATATGGAATCCTAGTAAGAGGAGGTTTAGGAGTTCGTGTTAAGGGATTTGGGAATAGGAGCGACTATCTCATTGGATCATCTGATATACACATACGAATGTGTATAGACTAGATGATTAGAGATATGTCAGACGATTATGTTACACAATTTTGTGCTGTCATAGGAGTTACGATCAACCATATTACATAAATTTCTAGCTTAAACAAATATTGATGGTTGTATTTAAGATACGGACAAGAAATGCCAATATAAATTTTTGAAGTTGGTCTTTCACGTTCTAGGCGCTTTTAGGGTACCTTTCACCTTTTCTAGTTTGATTTTAAACTTGCTATCCTCCTAAATTATTTGATACAAGGATAACGGGTGCGGGTGCAATACCCCCACAATGAGACACATTAAAGCATGAAAACCTATTTTGACCATTTGTACCAGTTTAGTAGAACTGTTGTTAAAATTTAATTTGGATCTGACAAGTATAACATTTGTATATACAATGGGTAAATTATATAAAATTAGTACTTTGCGGTTAACTAATGATAATTAATTTTTAAATGAATTGTGGACATGCTTTGGATACAAAAATGGTGTTCAGGCAACAGTTCATGAACCGAATTCTAGTGGTTTGGGTGCAGGGCGTGCTGTTTCCGTCTTATCAAGAATGTCCAGAAGCAGAATGATGATCACTCAGCAGCTAATAATAACCTAAATTTGAACTTGAGAAACAAATCCTTTTTAGTAAAGTAGCCAAAACAAATCGGTACAGGAACTTCAAAACCATGTTTACCAAGAGAATCGGTCCGTGAATAGTATCAATGCACAGTCCTGCACCAGGTGGTAAGGTCAGATCAGCGCATGCAGCTACAGAAACAATATCAGCGACATCGACTTTGATAGCTGGTCTACTAAAATTCATTGTATCTCCTGATTTGGAAGAAAGATTTCGTGTTATTTGTCTCTGTTCAACTTTGTTGATCTGCGATAAAAGCAGGAGGGCTTAGTGCGCAAATATAAACCCCAGTCAAGCAAAACTATAACACCACACAAGTAACATTAACTCTTTTAAAGTTGTGAATGCCAAACAATAATTGAACAGATGGCAAGAATTTTAAACAAGGGAACTTCATTTCAATGAAAGAAAAAAAAAAGTCAATCTTAAATTCATTTTCTACAATCTACATAGAGGGTGTGCTTCACTACACTAACTGTACTGGGAGAGTATTTGTGCCCAAAGATATACATTTGTAAAGTAGTGACACAGGTTTGACCAAATTCAAAAGCCAATACTCCGCAAATGAAATAAAGTTAAAGACCCACTACAGAAAGGGGTTTGGAGTTGTTAAAAGTGAAAATTGGGGCCGAGTTCTCCTTAAGTACTTATGATGAGTTTAGTCCGTCAAGGAAACTTATTTGGAGATAACTCCGTTTTTAATCTGACTAATAAGTAGTTAAGTCTACTATTTTTTTAAAACTCCAAAATACCCTTTCTTGAAAGTAACTTTAAATTAATTTCTTAACTTGAGAATTATTATCCCTTAATTCACTATTAATAAAGATATGCCAATAAATATTTTTACAAAAATTTGAAATTAAAATTCAAAGAACAACTATATATATATATATAAATTTGTACCATATTACTGTTCATACACCAATGGGTATTTGGTTTAATAGTAATCCTTACCTTGTGAAGCTTTACTTTCTTGAAGTCAAGGGTTCAAGTCTCCTCCCCCTCCCAATCCCAATCTCAATCCCAATCCAAAAAACAAAAAAGTAATAAAAAAAAATATTACTGTCCATATTACTATTTTTGTGAGCTTGTTACTGTTTATNATAAATTTGTACCATATTACTGTTCATACACCAATGGGTATTTGGTTTAATAGTAATCCTTACTTTGTGAAGCTTTACTTTCTTGAAGTCAAGGGTTCAAGTCTCCTCCCCCTCCCAATCCCAATCTCAATCCCAATCCAAAAAACAAAAAAGTAATAAAAAAAAATATTACTGTCCATATTACTATTTTTGTGAGCTTGTTACTGTTTATGTTACTGCTTTTGTGAGTATGCTACTATTTTGTTGAACATGTTACTATTGTTATTTTTTCAAATATTAATACTCAATAATACTAATTTTTTTGTTTTGAATATTATTATTTTTTGTATTTAAATGATACTATTTTTTTTAATGATACTATATATATATATATATATATATAATAAATAGTCATATTCTATATATGGATATAGATATGAGAAAGAGAATTTTAATGTTAATCAAACTTTTAAAATTTAGGAGTTGTTTATTTTCAAAATTTTTGTAATTAAACATAACTATTAAGGGTATTTTGGACAATGAAGATCAAAATGGACTTAATATTAAACAAGTTTCCTTGATGGACTTATCTCCAAATAAGTCCACAAAGGGGACCGGCCTCTAAATTTCTCTTGTTAAAATTAGTGGGAACTTGGCTCTTCAAGGCATTGCATGGTAGACACTTGACAAGTGCAGATGCTCCATGAAGGCAACGAGAGTTGGTGGCTTGATTCTTCAGCAAGCAATTCATGACTTGCAATAGCTTTATATTTTTCAGCCTGCAGGCACCAGTACTTCATAATCTTCAACACTGTAGGAGTACTTTGCAGCTTAACCACAGATTTCCACCACAAGAGAACAATCATAGATTTAATAAAAAATTCATGACTTGTTTTAACTTCCACAAGTCAGTGGATTTGTGAAGTCCCCTAAACAAGGCATGTGAAACTCGGGAAAGATATCTCCCAACTTTCCAACATTTGCCTGATTGTCTTCGGCCTATTAGGCCAACTGGCAAAGTGGTTGGCATACACTTTGACCCTCGAAGGCTCTGACACACCATGCACTTAAGTAAAGGTGTTAGATGTACAGTAAAAGATGCTTTGAGATAGAGTATTAGAGACTTGTTTAGCTTGGTGTGACCCTTATCTTGTTTAATTATGAGCAATATACTTGGTATGGATCATGACATCATGATGCCATTCTAGTGACTAAAAATCACATTTGCCAACAGGCCAATAAGATTACTCCAAAGTCGGTTAAGATAGCACTCTAACTTGATCATGAAATTTCTCAGTCTACAGAAAAGTTAGCACTTTAAAAATAAAAACAATAAGGGAAGAAGTAAACACATACACACGATTAAATTACCATTCCCACCTTAAATTATGCAACTCCTACCTGTTGAAGCCCTTCATGATTCAAAACAAATTCAGAGCGTCTCCAGTCACTATGAGGCGCAATTGGGTTTCCAACAGGTGGTGCAGTCAGATAGCCAACCTTCAGATAAGGTAATGGTAGCTACAAATNTTTAATTATGAGCAATATACTTGGTATGGATCATGATATCATGATGCCATTCTAGTGACTAAAAATCACATTTGCCAACAGGCCAATAAGATTACTCCAAAGTCAGTTAAGATAGCACTCTAACTTAATCATGAAATTTCTCAGTCTACAGAAAAGTTAGCACTTTTAAAATAAAAACAATAAGGGAAGAAGTAAACACATACACACGATTAAATTACCATTCCCACCTTAAATTATGCAACTCCTACCTGTTGAAGCCCTTCATGATTCAAAACAAATTCAGAGCGTCTCCAGTCACTATGAGGCGCAATTGGGTTTCCAACAGGTGGTGCTGTCAGATAGCCAACCTTCAGATAAGGTAATGGTAGCTACAAATAAATAAGTTCTGTCAGAACAATTATATGGAGTACCCCCAGTCTAGAGTCATATAAAATTGTCAAACCTGTAAATTGTGGAAAATTTCCATCAAATGATCCTTATGCATTCATTGCAATTGAAAATTAAATAGCCAAAGAAAGGGCGAGACGGTAAACAAATGTGTATTCACAAATCTTTGATATTGACAGTAGGACAGGTGAAGTTAGGGAACACCTTGCTAGAAATGCTCCAAATGCAAGCCAAGCAATGAGGATGAATAAATACGGTGCCATACTCGGCCTCCACAAAACAGAGGCTCTGATGGAACACTAGATACATGACTAAAGGTAGTAGGAACTAGAAACTAGGAACTAGGAACTTAAAGTAACGGGTCCTTTTCAGTTTCTTTTGAAATAACAAGAAAACCCACAGTTTTATAAAATGCAAGAAAGCTACAAATGAAGCCAAGACATCCAACCCTGGGTGATGAAACTATCTTACTCATCATGAATAATGAACTCTGGGAGATAGTCTATAAATGAATGTTAAATGAGAAAAAAAATACAAATAAGCACTGACCATAGAACGCACGAGCTTCAATGCACTAGTGTAAACCTGTAAGTAACAAATATCACAAGATTTAAGTTTACATCAATCCTAAATATTAAGGCTAAATATGCACTGAGAAAACAGATAAAAATAAACTATAAAGACTACATAAGATGGCTTCCAACTGACGATTTTTCAAGCATCCACTCCAGGTAAATACCTCTCTGTAAGTGAAAAACAAATGCTAATGGCTGCTTTTGTCACGTCCTTGGAGCACCCAATTTTTAAATAGATTCTCACCACACACGTGCAGTGTGCACGCGTCAACACAACTGGATCTCATCCAAACTGGTGATGAAATTTATACCATGAAGTGGCAACAGAAAATGTCATATTCTACATCCCACCCCACCCCCCACAACAAAACAAAGTTGAAAATGATTAGGAACCAACAAATGGAGGTGCTCACTGAGTAATTTGGTTTCAATGCATGAGCAGCAGCAATATAGATTGCAGATTGGCTGTATAGCTCATTAGGGGGAACCTCTTTTGCATTGAATGATCCACCAGTTCTTGACATGTCTTCTGCTAATCCATACTGAATATGTAGAATGGAAAGAAAAGATTAATATGTCTTCTCTTTTTCCCCTTTTTTTTTCTATTGGTCCAAAATATGAAAGGACAACAAGAAATCGGAAACCAACCAGAACAGTGCCAAGGTTGTAAATTGCCCTATGGAAATCAAACTGCAACTGTATTGCTGCTCGGAACTGCATTACAGCATAAGTGAAAGGTATAACAAAAATAGAACATACAACTCGATTTCCAACTAACTGGTATTCATTTGCCCAAGCATGCTGTCTCCAAGTAACTTTTGTACCTTACTAATTGCAGTTTTTACAATAGTCTGCTTTTCACGTGCAGCTACAATTGCACTGAGTTCCTGAGGCGCACATTGTTAACATAAGATCAAAAGTCAAAACCAAACTTCCCAGTACACCCACATGTATAGAAAATTTCAAGATTTGTTTTAAAAAAACAGGTCCACTATGTAACTCTTGAAACAGAAATGCCCCAAAATGACTTTCAGGCAAAGTTAATTCAACTAGACGTACCTGAAGAGCAAGTCCCCAGTTATTAAGTGCCTGACAAAAAAAAAAATTATCATGAAGTTAGAGCAGAGAAGAAAAAAAATCTTCATTCTGAATAAAATCAAAGGAGGGTGCATGATAGAATTATATCCACACAATCTCTCTTATACACACTCTTATATATGCACTCTCTCTTCTATCATGACTTGCGTTAGTCATGATAGAATTATATGCACATACACACACACACAATTGAAGAAACAAGAAAAATGCAATCAGGAAGGTAATCAGATTTTGGATGGAATTGTAAGGCTGATTTTAAAGTTTCTTGTAGTTTTACCTGGGGACTGTTCCAGTTCAGTTGGACAGCTTTTTCATAGTTTTTTGTCGCCTGCAAAAAGAAAAAAGAATAAGAGGGGTTTTTCCTTTCAAAGTTATGTTTTACGATAAAGCTGCACTACTTCCAATGAATAAAGAATACAGCCTGTCGCAATAAGAACCAGAAAAGTGGCATTGTATCTTTTCAACACCACAAAAGATGCCACCACCACCATCACAAATCACATTTTTCATCACTACCAAGCATAGTGTTAGATTTGAAGATCCAAAAATCACCTTTGAAAAAAATATTGAACAGATATTTGTAGGAAACACAAGTTATTTTAGTAGAAAAGAAAACTGCAGAAAAATAAATATATTTATACTACTAATAAAAGTACCTTACATAAAAAAGTTTTGATTCACTATTTTGACCTTATAAAAAATTATAAAGACTAACATGTCCTGATTACTGTTATATCCTTTGATATTCTAATAACAAACTAACTTCTAACATATTATGTAAATCTCTACCCTTACACANGATTAGGAACCAACAAATGGAGGTGCTCACTGAGTAATTTGGTTTCAATGCATGAGCAGCAGCAATATAGATTGCAGATTGGCTGTATAGCTCATTAGGGGGAACCTCTTTTGCATTGAATGATCCACCAGTTCTTGACATGTCTTCTGCTAATCCATACTGAATATGTAGAATGGAAAGAAAAGATTAATATGTCTTCTCTTTTTCCCCTTTTTTTTTCTATTGGTCCAAAATATGAAAGGACAACAAGAAATCGGAAACCAACCAGAACAGTGCCAAGGTTGTAAATTGCCCTATGGAAATCAAACTGCAACTGTATTGCTGCTCGGAACTGCATTACAGCATAAGTGAAAGGTATAACAAAAATAGAACATACAACTCGATTTCCAACTAACTGGTATTCATTTGCCCAAGCATGCTGTCTCCAAGTAACTTTTGTACCTTACTAATTGCAGTTTTTACAATAGTCTGCTTTTCACGTGCAGCTACAATTGCACTGAGTTCCTGAGGCGCACATTGTTAACATAAGATCAAAAGTCAAAACCAAACTTCCCAGTACACCCACATGTATAGAAAATTTCAAGATTTGTTTTAAAAAAACAGGTCCACTATGTAACTCTTGAAACAGAAATGCCCCAAAATGACTTTCAGGCAAAGTTAATTCAACTAGACGTACCTGAAGAGCAAGTCCCCAGTTATTAAGTGCCTGACAAAAAAAAAAATTATCATGAAGTTAGAGCAGAGAAGAAAAAAAATCTTCATTCTGAATAAAATCAAAGGAGGGTGCATGATAGAATTATATCCACACAATCTCTCTTATACACACTCTTATATATGCACTCTCTCTTCTATCATGACTTGCGTTAGTCATGATAGAATTATATGCACACACACACACACACAATTGAAGAAACAAGAAAAATGCAATCAGGAAGGTAATCAGATTTTGGATGGAATTGTAAGGCTGATTTTAAAGTTTCTTGTAGTTTTACCTGGGGACTGTTCCAGTTCAGTTGGACAGCTTTTTCATAGTTTTTTGTCGCCTGCAAAAAGAAAAAAGAATAAGAGGGGTTTTTCCTTTCAAAGTTATGTTTTACGATAAAGCTGCACTACTTCCAATGAATAAAGAATACAGCCTGTCGCAATAAGAACCAGAAAAGTGGCATTGTATCTTTTCAACACCACAAAAGATGCCACCACCACCATCACAAATCACATTTTTCATCACTACCAAGCATAGTGTTAGATTTGAAGATCCAAAAATCACCTTTGAAAAAAATATTGAACAGATATTTGTAGGAAACACAAGTTATTTTAGTAGAAAAGAAAACTGCAGAAAAATAAATATATTTATACTACTAATAAAAGTACCTTACATAAAAAAGTTTTGATTCACTATTTTGACCTTATAAAAAATTATAAAGACTAACATGTCCTGATTACTGTTATATCCTTTTATATTCTAATAACAAACTAACTTCTAACATATTATGTAAATCTCTACCCTTACACAACTTTTAGGTGGTCATGTTACTCTTAACAGATTATACAAAAATATTATTCTTTATTTCCAAAACTCCAATATTAATACATATCGACAACTTCATTGATACAATATTATTTCCGGTGCCAAAAAATCGATATATGTATCTTTTTATCTTTACCCACAATACAAACAATTTAAGTATGATAAATATGAGAAAATATCTAATTTAACTATATGATTATTTTTTTATGTATTTTATCAAATATTTTAATGAAAACTTTCACGTGCAAGTTGCAACGCACGTGTTCCATTGCTAGTACCTATAAATACAAGAATGTGTATAGCATGAGAGAAATGAAATAGTCATAGGGTTAAACCTGCTTCCATAGTTCTTCAGCTTCCTTTGTACGCCCACGCATTTTAGCACGATCGGAGATTGCTATGGCCCAATTATAATAAGCCTGGGATGACAATAAATTGCAGATCAATATGAAGTGGATTCATGAAACAAGATGCTTATCTATGATAGTGCATTCAATCTAACATCTAATACAACATAAGCCAGATAAAAATTCTTTGCATTTTAGAACCTAGTTGTGTTCTCCCATGCAGCCTCTGATATTGGGTAGCTTTGTTTTCCATCTTTTAGAAAAATTTCTTTTCTCTACTCAAAAAAGTATACATATAGAACAAGACATGATGTTTAAATTTTGGACTCTCCAATATCAAGGAGATAACTACATACATCATGAAGTGTAGGGCAAAGATGGGTGGCCTCATCATACTTTCTACACGCCTCTTCAAGCAATGCATCTTTAGAAGGTGAACTAGAGTCTGGACTAACATTATCTGCACTTTCCTGCAGACAAAGTCAAGTAATATTGGTTTGATCCCATGGTTTAAACAAGAAGATGTTGAAAGCACCCAAAATGCAAAATCTGATATATAAATGTTCTTTGGTGTCATGTGAACAGTTTTCTCGTCTTGAATATTTCAGTTACATTTTCAATAAAACGCATTTACGGGATCCTTTCTTTCGAAAAAAAAAAACATAGAGCAAAAAGGACAAGAAAAAAAAAGAGTGCATCTAACCAAGGATCAAAATATCGTTTCGGTAGATTGTTTCGGTCACCTAGGAAACGAAAACGTTTCAACGTGTTTCAAAAACGTTTTGACCCGTTTTGAAAATATAATGAAAAAAATAAAAAATTTAAAAATTATTTTTTAAAAACATTGATAGAAATATATCAAAGTATTCTGAAATATCTTGAAACATTCTAAAACAATTATGCAAATGCATTGAAATATTATAATACATTTAAAAACATTATAGAATACTTCGAAATATCAAAATTTCGATTTCATCACTATTTCGTTTCGGTCTCCTTGGAAACGGAAACGTTTCGACCGTTTCGAAACAATATTTTGATCCTTGCATCTAACCACTGCCACGTAATGATTATAAGTTAATATTCAAGTGCACAACGTTAGACCTGAAGGACCAGAGCCCAATTATAGAGTGCATCATAATCATCTGGATTTCTATCAATAGCACTAGCGTATCTGCATTAAAACGCCAAAAGATATTCATGAAAATGTAATTCTTACAAGAACAAAATTAACAATTCAGCTGAGATATTGTCAATGAATTATGTTAAAAAGTAATGTTTATTCAAACAATGAAAACAAGAAGTAACAAACAACAATTTCTTTTATCCATTCCTCATAAGGGGCCTATATTTCAATGCCACGGGTAGCGTAGACGCTAACTGAATCTATGTTAAGAGATTTATTACATAATATAAACTTCTAACACAACATTAGTATAAAAAAAGCATGCAAAGGATGCTCAACTATAAACACATCCAAAACCTGTAAGTAGGAGCACTAAAAGCATTTAAAAGGTTAAACCAGAAGCAATCTATCCATCAATGCTACCAAGGAAATTAGTTTTACCAAAATGAAAGGAATGTAACAAAGTGCCAAGGAAATCTGGGTTTGGCATAAGATTGTAAATTATGATTGAGGGAGGAAAGCACCACTCAAACCAAAAGTTAAGAAAATAAGAAAAAAAAGAGTTGCCAACAGCAACAATAGCATGTTACTACAGTTCAAAGTTGAGTTGGAATTTTGTTAGCCTCCACTTACTTTTTTTTTTAGATATTTAAAACATTCTGCATCAGTCGTTGTGAAACAACTTCATAATTGAGAAAAACTTCAAAAGAAATCAAGAAAAAGAAAAGAGTTACCACCAGCAACAATAGTATGCTATTGTTCCCAGCTGTGTTTCAATTTTGTGAGCCTCTACCTACTTGAACAAATAACTTAAAAACCATTCTGCAACAACAGAATATTAACTTTCCAATGATAATAGTGGAATTGACCGTTTAACAATGTCTGAAGTTTACAAGAAAGTTTTGTTAATGTAATGCATGCAGAGAATGTAGTCTTTTGGCTACTGAAATGGGAATCAAAAATATGGGCACAGGTGAAGCAAGCCAGCGTAGTTGATCAATCAAAACTACAGAACACGATGACTACCTTTTTGCAGCGAATGTAAGAATTCGTTGGCGGGACCGACCCTCCTCATCAGCACCAGTGACACTGTTGATCAACTCAATGGCAGCATTATTCTGCTCCATGTGTTGTTGTGAGCTTTCTTGACTGCAACAGGTTATAAGAATAAAAAAAAGTGGGGGAAAAAAACTTATTAAGAACTATAAGAAGAACAAATATCTATAATATAAAACAAGACACACTTCAATAAGTCCATCTCACGATCTCAAATAGACTCATCCAACGGTCACTAGCATCTCCCTCAAAACCATTAACATTGAATTCCCCCCCCCCCTAAAAAAAAAAATCCATTACTTTTCACTTTCGTTGTACAGACTTCAGACACGGGTTATCTCTAATACAGAAAATGAGAGAACTGGATAACTTTCTTCACCATATAAAAAATCAAAGACCACAGGTGGACACATCGTGTAATTCAATTTACAGTCAGTGAAAAGGATACAAAGAAATATACAGAAAAAAATAGACCTGTGATCAAGGAATGGTTTAAGAACACAATAAAACTATTACCCTAGACAAGCAGACACATGATGGATAGTTATTTGATGATGGTTTTGGGTGGGGGGAGCACCACCGATAATTTTATGAATATAAACCAATCCAGATCATAATATACAACAGATGGACAAATGGTCATCAGCGTAAAAAAATGAGAGTGTTGGGGAAATATATCAAGCTGTTACCTTGCTGAGACGTGAAGTGCTGACATCAATGACCTTAAATAGTATAGATTTACTTTTTGTTTTACTGTTATTATCACATCTAATGTAACTTGTAAGAACGACTGAAACGAAATTTCATTTGTTCTATTATTGATGTTTCTCTCATGATTCCAATTGCCATTGATGTTATTAAATAGATTTGAGAAAAATTACCAGACGGTACCTACTAAAGAACTTTTTGTTTTTCTTCTATGTAGTTTGCAAGCAGCAGTCTAGCCCCGATCCAGACTCGGTAAAATTTGGAAATCCAGGTATCATTATTAGGTAGGTGGCGGGACTCCTGTGTGGATCCTCAACTCCCACACGTGGCCCAATAAAGTCATTAAGATGTCTGGAAGATGCCGAGGGAGTGAGCCAAGGCATGGTGACACAGAGCGGCTGAGTACAACAGCTGGCATCATAGTCAAAGCGATGTGACCTCGCATTTATGGCAAGATGAGTGATAGTGACAAGACAAATAAATGCGGGGCTGCCACCAACTGCTCTCTGCAAGTCTATGTCTACTGTCATGACGACTGGAGCATTAATGACTGATGCGCCGAAACAACGCGATTGGTCCTCCCAAGTTCTCTGATCCACCAAGTAGTCCGTGCCCTGTCGGTGTCAGACGCCGACCTCTTGGATTGGGCTGCTCGGCTTGTAGTATAAATATTTGGCTTGCGGCCGAGCACTTATACCATTCCCCGAGCATTCAATTCGAGGAGGCGTAAAGGGGAAGCATTCACAGCACGAGGGATGGTGTGTCAGATGTGAAATGTCCAGATGGGACTGAAGATCTAGAGCAATCATTGTTAATTCAGGTATAAATATCCCTCAGAAAAATGGACAAAGGTACGCAAAATCAAACCATAGCTCATTTACTAAGAAACATCCCTTTGATCTTACTAACTTAAGCTTCGGAGGGGATTGGCTGGACTCACGCCTGGCCCTCTTTCTTCTAACCTCGTTTTTTCAAGTTTGCCAGTCAAGGGATCGCTATCTTACGAGATTGCAGGATCTATCCCGTGTAATTTGGCGTCGTCTGTGGGAACGAAAGCATCGCTAAGTTTTGTGGTGGCAATCGTTTGATGGTGAACACTCGATCTCAGGGTGAGGGAGTAAGTGTACGGGCCAGGAACGCAAATCCTGTCCGGCTTCCAATGGTCCTAGAACCGGGTTCATTAGGCCGATTAGATGGGCAGGGGCGCTCGTCGCAAAGAACGTTCTCTATGGATCAGTCCCTTGGGGGGTGTGACCTCCGGGCCCACGACATTGTGGAGATGGTGGAGAAACGGATGGCCAAACGTATTAAACAGCTTGAGAGGGAGAACGTTAAGGTCCTACGACACCTTGACGATTTCGAGCAGTCGGCCAGCGCGAATGAACGCGGCCGCGGGGTTGGGGACCAGGTGCCCAGCCAGAGCCTGTCTAGGTCCCTCCAGAAAGGAATGGGTTAGGCACACGCCCAAAAGGTAGGACCGCCCAGGGGGATCCTCGGCCTTTGAGGGACGGTCAGAATTGGGTCAAAAGGCGAACCTATCCAGGTGGGACCTGCGCCGAGGGATACCTGAGGGCATTGGAGTCGCCGAATCTCACGCGGAGTCCATGCCCCGAAGGCCTCATGGAGATAGATCAGCTAAAGATCCTCAGGTCCCCTTCGNGTTTTTCCTTTCAAAGTTATGTTTTACGATAAAGCTGCACTACTTCCAATGAATAAAGAATACAGCCTGTCGCAATAAGAACCAGAAAAGTGGCATTGTATCTTTTCAACACCACAAAAGATGCCANGCTTTTCCTTTCAAAGTTATGTTTTACGATAAAGCTGCACTACTTCCAATGAATAAAGAATACAGCCTGACGCAATAAGAACCAGAAAAGTGGCATTGTATCTTTTCAACACCACAAAAGATGCCANCAGGTCCCCTTCGTCGCTCAGCGCGACAACAAACTCGCAGTTCACTCCGACGAAGTTATTTCGCCGTTCGTCCAGGCTATTAGGGAGGCCGAAATACCAAAAAAGTTTACCGTCCCGCAGTTCAAGATCTACGATGGAAAGACCGACCCTGAGAGCCATCTTCGGCAATACAGACAATTGATGTCAATCTATGACATCGACCAAAGGGTGTTGTGCCGAGTTTTTCCCATGAGCCTCGGGGACACGGGCATGAGGTGGTACGAGAACCTCGCCCCCGAGAGCATAGGGTCCTAGAGGCAGTTGACAGGGCTTTTCCTGGCCCGATTCATCACCAGCAGCAAGAAGCCTAAGGACATTGGCGCTCTGTTGACGCNGACCTTATAAAAAATTATAAAGACTAACATGTCCTGATTACTGTTATATCCTTTTATATTCTAATAACAAACTAACTTCTAACATATTATGTAAATCTCTACCCTTACACAACTTTTAGGTGGTCATGTTACTCTTAACAGATTATACAAAAATATTATTCTTTATTTCCAAAACTCCAATATTAATACATATCGACAACTTCATTGATACAATATTATTTCCGGTGCCAAAAAATCGATATATGTATCTTTTTATCTTTACCCACAATACAAACAATTTAAGTATGATAAATATGAGAAAATATCTAATTTAACTATATGATTATTTTTTTATGTATTTTATCAAATATTTTAATGAAAACTTTCACGTGCAAGTTGCAACGCACGTGTTCCATTGCTAGTACCTATAAATACAAGAATGTGTATAACATGAGAGAAATGAAATAGTCATAAGGTTAAACCTGCTTCCATAGTTCTTCAGCTTCCTTTGTACGCCCACGCATTTTAGCACGATCGGAGATTGCTATGGCCCAATTATAATAAGCCTGGGATGACAATAAATTGCAGATCAATATGAAGTGGATTCATGAAACAAGATGCTTATCTATGATAGTGCATTCAATCTAACATCTAATACAACATAAGCCAGATAAAAATTCTTTGCATTTTAGAACCTAGTTGTGTTCTCCCATGCAGCCTCTGATATTGGGTAGCTTTGTTTTCCATCTTTTAGAAAAATTTCTTTTCTCTACTCAAAAAAGTATACATATAGAACAAGACATGATGTTTAAATTTTGGACTCTCCAATATCAAGGAGATAACTACATACATCATGAAGTGTAGGGCAAAGATGGGTGGCCTCATCATACTTTCTACACGCCTCTTCAAGCAATGCATCTTTAGAAGGTGAACTAGAGTCTGGACTAACATTATCTGCACTTTCCTGCAGACAAAGTCAAGTAATATTGGTTTGATCCCATGGTTTAAACAAGAAGATGTTGAAAGCACCCAAAATGCAAAATCTGATATATAAATGTTCTTTGGTGTCATGTGAACAGTTTCTCGTCTTGAATATTTCAGTTACATTTTCAATAAAACGCATTTACGGGATCCTTTCTTTCGAAAAAAAAAAACATAGAGCAAAAAGGACAAGAAAAAAAAAGAGTGCATCTAACCAAGGATCAAAATATCGTTTCGGTAGATTGTTTCNTGTTCTTTGGTGTCATGTGAACAGTTTCTCGTCTTGAATATTTCAGTTACATTTTCAATAAAACGCATTTACTGGATCCTTTCTTTCGAAAAAAAAAAACATAGAGCAAAAAGGACAAGAAAAAAAAAGAGTGCATCTAACCAAGGATCAAAATATCGTTTCGGTAGATTGTTTCGGTCACCTAGGAAACGAAAACGTTTCAATGTGTTTCAAAAACGTTTTGACCCGTTTCGAAAATATAATGAAAAAAATAAAAAATTTAAAAATTATTTTTTAAAAACATTGATAGAAATATATCAAAGTATTCTGAAATATCTTGAAACATTCTAAAACAATTATGCAAATGCATTGNCGGTCACCTAGGAAACGAAAACGTTTCAACGTGTTTCAAAAACGTTTTGACCCGTTTTGAAAATATAATGAAAAAAATAAAAAATTTAAAAATTATTTTTTAAAAACATTGATAGAAATATATCAAAGTATTCTGAAATATCTTGAAACATTCTAAAACAATTATGCAAATGCATTGAAATATTATAATACATTTAAAAACATTATAGAATACTTCGAAATATCAAAATTTCGATTTCATCACTATTTCGTTTCGGTCTCCTTGGAAACGGAAACGTTTCGACCGTTTCGAAACAATATTTTGATNTTGTCTGTGGGAACGAAAGCATTGCTAAGTTTTGTGGTGGCAATCGTTTGATGGTGAACACTCGATCTCAGGGTGAGGGAGTAAGTGTACGGGCCAGGAACGCAAATCCTGTCCGGCTTCCAATGGTCCTAGAACCGNCCTTGCATCTAACCACTGCCACGTAATGATTATAAGTTAATATTCAAGTGCACAACGTTAGACCTGAAGGACCAGAGCCCAATTATAGAGTGCATCATAATCATCTGGATTTCTATCAATAGCACTAGCGTATCTGCATTAAAACGCCAAAAGATATTCATGAAAATGTAATTCTTACAAGAACAAAATTAACAATTCAGCTGAGATATTGTCAATGAATTATGTTAAAAAGTAATGTTTATTCAAACAATGAAAACAAGAAGTAACAAACAACAATTTCTTTTATCCATTCCTCATAAGGGGCCTATATTTCAATGCCACAGGTGGCGTAGACGCTAACTGAATCTATGTTAAGAGATTTATTACATAATATAAACTTCTAACACAACATTAGTATAAAAAAAGCATGCAAAGGATGCTCAACTATAAACACATCCAAAACCTGTAAGTAGGAGCACTAAAAGCATTTAGAAGGTTAAACCAGAAGCAATCTATCCATCAATGCTACCAAGGAAATTAGTTTTACCAAAATGAAAGGAATGTAACAAAGTGCCAAGGAAATCTGGGTTTGGCATAAGATTGTAAATTATGATTGAGGGAGGAAAGCACCACTCAAACCAAAAGTTAAGAAAATAAGAAAAAAAAGAGTTGCCAACAGCAACAATAGCATGTTACTACAGTTCAAAGTTGAGTTGGAATTTTGTTAGCCTCCACTTACTTTTTTTTTTAGATATTTAAAACATTCTGCATCAGTCGTGAAACAACTTCATAATTGAGAAAAACTTCAAAAGAAATCAAGAAAAAGAAAAGAGTTACCACCAGCAACAATAGTATGCTATTGTTCCCAGCTGTGTTTCAATTTTGTGAGCCTCTACCTACTTGAACAAATAACTTAAAAACCATTCTGCAACAACAGAATATTAACTTTCCAATGATAATAGTGGAATTGACCGTTTAACAATGTCTGAAGTTTACAAGAAAGTTTTGTTAATGTAATGCATGCAGAGAATGTAGTCTTTTGGCTACTGAAATGGGAATCAAAAATATGGGCACAGGTGAAGCAAGCCAGCGTAGTTGATCAATCAAAACTACAGAACACGATGACTACCTTTTTGCAGCAAATGTAAGAATTCGTTGGCGGGACCGACCCTCCTCATCAGCACCAGTGACACTGTTGATCAACTCAATGGCAGCATTATTCTGCTCCATGTGTTGTTGTGAGCTTTCTTGACTGCAACAGGTTATAAGAATAAAAAAAAGTGGGGGAAAAAAACTTATTAAGAACTATAAGAAGAACAAATATCTATAATATAAAACAAGACACACTTCAATAAGCCCATCTCACGATCTCAAATAGACTCATCCAACGGTCACTAGCATCTCCCTCAAAACCATTAACATTGAATTCCCCCCCCCCCTAAAAAAAAAAATCCATTACTTTTCACTTTCGTTGTACAGACTTCAGACACGGGTTATCTCTAATACAGAAAATGAGAGAACTGGATAACTTTCTTCACCATATAAAAAATCAAAGACCACAGGTGGACACATCGTGTAATTCAATTTACAGTCAGTGAAAAGGATACAAAGAAATATACAGAAAAAAATAGACCTGTGATCAAGGAATGGTTTAAGAACACAATAAAACTATTACCCTAGACAAGCAGACACATGATGGATAGTTATTTGATGATGGTTTTGGGTGGGGGGAGCACCACCGATAATTTTATGAATATAAACCAATCCAGATCATAATATACAACAGATGGACAAATGGTCATCAGCGTAAAAAAATGCTTTTGAGGAAGAAAAAAATGAGAGTGTTGGGGAAATATATCAAGCTGTTACCTTGCTGAGACGTGAAGTGCTGACATCAATGACCTTAAATAGTATAGATTTACTTTTTGTTTTACTGTTATTATCACATCTAATGTAACTTGTAAGAACGACTGAAACGAAATTTCATTTGTTCTATTATTGATGTTTCTCTCATGATTCCAATTGCCATTGATGTTATTAAATAGATTTGAGAAAAATTACCAGACGGTACCTACTAAAGAACTTTTTGTTTTTCTTCTATGTAGTTTGCAAGCAGCAGTCTAGCCTCGATCCAGACTCGGTAAAATTTGGAAATCCAGGTATCATTATTAGGTAGGTGGCGGGACTCCTGTGTGGATCCTCAACTCCCACACGTGGCCCAATAAAGTCATTAAGATGTCTGGAAGATGCCGAGGGGGTGAGCCAAGGCATGGTGACACAGAGCGGCCGAGTACAACAGCTGGCATCATAGTCAAAGCGATGTGACCTCGCATTTATGGCAAGATGAGTGATAGTGACAAGACAAATAAATGCGGGGCTGCCACCAACTGCTCTCTGCAAGTCTATGTCTACTGTCATGATGACTGGAGCATTAATGACTGATGCGCCGAAACAACGCGATTGGTCCTCCCAAGTTCTCTGATCCACCAAGTAGTCCGTGCCCTGTCGGTGTCAGACGCCGACCTCTTGGATTGGGCTGCTCGGCTTGTAGTATAAATATTTGGCTTGCGGCCGAGCACTTATACCATTCCCCGAGCATTCAATTCGAGGAGGCGTAAAGGGGAAGCATTCACAGCACGAGGGATGGTGTGTCAGATGTGAAATGTCCAGATGGGACTGAAGATCTAGAGCAATCATTGTTAATTCAGGTATAAATATCCCTCAGAAAAATGGACAAAGGTACGCAAAATCAAACCATAGCTCATTGACTAAGAAACATCCCTCTGATCTTACTAACTTAAGCTTCGGAGGGGATTGGCTGGACTCACGCCTGGCCCCCTTTCTTCTAACCTCGTTTTTTCAAGTTTGCCAGTCAAGGGATCGCTATCTTACGAGATTGCAGGATCTATCCCGTGTAATTTGGCGCTGTCTGTGGGAACGAAAGCATCGCTAAGTTTTGTGGTGGCAATCGTTTGATGGTGAACACTCGATCTCAGGGTGAGGGAGTAAGTGTACGGGCCAGGAACGCAAATCCTGTCCGGCTTCCAATGGTCCTAGAACCGGGTTCATTAGGCCGATCAGATGGGCAGGGGCGCTCATCGCAAAGAACGTTCTCTATGGATCAGTCCCTTGGGGGGTGTGACCTCCGGGCCCACGACATTGTGGAGATGGTGGAGAAACGGATGGCCAAACGTATTAAGCAGCTTGAGAGGGAGAACGCCAAGGTCCTACGACACCTTGACGATTTCGAGCAGTCGGCCAGCGCGAATGAACGCGGCCGCGGGGTTGGGGACCAGGTGCCTAGCCAGAGCCTGTCCAGGTCCCTCCGGCGTGGTCCCTCCAGAAAGGAATGGGTTAGGCACACGCCCAAAAGGTAGGACCGCCTAGGGGGATCCTCGGCCTTTGAGGGACGGTCAGAATTAGGTCAAAAGGCAAACCTATCCAGGTGGGACCTGCGCCGAGGGATACCTGAGGGCATTGGAGTCGCCGANTTGAGGGAGGAAAGCACCACTCAAACCAAAAGTTAAGAAAATAAGAAAAAAAAGAGTTGCCAACAGCAACAATAGCATGTTACTACAGTTCAAAGTTGAGTTGGAATTTTGTTAGCCTCCACTTACTTTTTTTTNTCGAGGGAGGAAAGCACCACTCAAACCAAAAGTTAAGAAAATAAGAAAAAAAAGAGTTGCCAACAGCAACAATAGCACGTTACTACAGTTCAAAGTTGAGTTGGAATTTTGTTAGCCTCCACTTACTTTTTTTTTTAGATATTTAAAACATTCTGCATCAGTCGTGAAACAACTTCATAATTGAGAAAAACTTCAAAAGAAATCAAGAAAAAGAAAAGAGTTACCACCAGCAACAATAGTATGCTATTGTTCCCAGCTGTGTTTCAATTTTGTGAGCCTCTACCTACTTGAACAAATAACTTAAAAACCATTCTGCAACAACAGAATATTAACTTTCCAATGATAATAGTGGAATTGACCGTTTAACAATGTCTGAAGTTTACAAGAAAGTTTTGTTAATGTAATGCATGCAGAGAATGTAGTCTTTTGGCTACTGAAATGGGAATCAAAAATATGGGCACAGGTGAAGCAAGCCAGCGTAGTTGATCAATCAAAACTACAGAACACGATGACTACCTTTTTGCAGCAAATGTAAGAATTCGTTGGCGGGACCGACCCTCCTCATCAGCACCAGTGACACTGTTGATCAACTCAATGGCAGCATTATTCTGCTCCATGTGTTGTTGTGAGCTTTCTTGACTGCAACAGGTTATAAGAATAAAAAAAAGTGGGGGAAAAAAACTTATTAAGAACTATAAGAAGAACAAATATCTATAATATAAAACAAGACACACTTCAATAAGCCCATCTCACGATCTCAAATAGACTCATCCAACGGTCACTAGCATCTCCCTCAAAACCATTAACATTGAATTCCCCCCCCCCCTAAAAAAAAAAATCCATTACTTTTCACTTTCGTTGTACAGACTTCAGACACGGGTTATCTCTAATACAGAAAATGAGAGAACTGGATAACTTTCTTCACCATATAAAAAATCAAAGACCACAGGTGGACACATCGTGTAATTCAATTTACAGTCAGTGAAAAGGATACAAAGAAATATACAGAAAAAAATAGACCTGTGATCAAGGAATGGTTTAAGAACACAATAAAACTATTACCCTAGACAAGCAGACACATGATGGATAGTTATTTGATGATGGTTTTGGGTGGGGGGAGCACCACCGATAATTTTATGAATATAAACCAATCCAGATCATAATATACAACAGATGGACAAATGGTCATCAGCGTAAAAAAATG